CAACGCTCCGCCTCCACCACCTCCGCCTCCAGGCCCCCCGCCGTACGGGCATGGAAGCGGACACAGCCGCCACTCCATGTCTTCTTCTGGAAACCCGGAGCGGTCAGGGCCCAGGGCTTCTTCGGGATCTCTTCCAATGGAGCCTGCCGTACCCACTGGCCCTGCTTCTGGTGGTGACAGATCTTCAAGATCAGGAGGTGGAAGAAGACAGTTGGCAGGCATCAACAACATGCTTCAGCAGGCTCAGGCCGCCATGCCAAACGAAGGACGGCCCAGCGGACCTCGCGTTAACCCTCCCCGGCAAATGCTCGGCCACTCGGACGTCCAAGTTCTAGCCGGAGGAGACGTGATTCCCCCTACACCCGATCGTCCAGATGCGCAGTGGCATGACTCACCAGCCCGAAGCGGTGGCCCGAATGGAGAAGAGGGATCGGGTCGTGGAGAGCACGAGCGAGGCCGACGAGACCGTGGCGATGGCCGAAACGATCGCTCCAAGCGGTCATCTCGTCGAAGCAGCCGAGAGCGTGAGAGAGAAGGCAAAGAGCACAACGAGCACCGAGAGAGGCGGTCTATGGCGAATGCCGTTGAGGGTGGGGCTCGAGAAGATAGAGACGCTCGCAGGTCAACCCGAGACGGCAGCTCGCGAGATGTAGCAGCAATGCCGAGTAGCGGCCGAGAGTCGCGGCATAGGGGCGAAGGAGGGCTCGGGAACAGAGGCGGAGACGAAAGGAGTGGCAATAGAGCAAACCGAGGAAACCCGAGAGACGGAACACAGCGTACGGATGAGCAGCGGAGGGAGCATAGGGATGATCGAGGGCGCAAGAGGAGAGGGGAAGAAGCCGATGGGGCGTTGTCGAGCGACCGCGAAAAGCGAGCACGACGGTAATCCGGTGTCTCTGGAAGCGATGAAAAAACAACCCAAATATGGATGCATAGTCACGATTGGCTTGCAATGGACTAGGTAGCACGGCAGCCACAGGGGCCACTTTGTCAGGCGTTGGTACAACGACTCAAATCAATGTCTTTTTATTCTTCTTCTTTTCCCAGGATTGGAGCTTTCGGGCTCACGCCAGGCTACGGCACATTTTCACAAAATTGTCAAATGCGAAGCATGGTGTCTATTTACACATGTCTTATCTAAACTCATTTATTGTCTTCATTTTACGGCGGTTTTGCTACGGCCGAGAGGGATTGATTCAGCGAAAAAATAATGCAACTCACATATCTGTCAATCTACTTTACCTACCTACTACTCCCACCCTAACCTCCTTTTTGCCCGGTCTATCTTGTCTATCAAGAGACGGACAGATTTCGGACGGATTTCGCATTTCGAATCTTTGAGTGTATTAAATCCAATCTATCAAAAACAAAAAAAACCCCCCCAAAAAAAAACAAGCAAACCATACATTTCTGGTGCAGGCACATAGACGGAAAAAGGGCAGATGCCCCGGGAGGATATATTACGAACGTTTGGATGCGAGCTACTTTGCTTAATGGCATTATGATGACTTGTGGGTTTTCGATCATTTACGATACCAGCTATGTATGTACGATATGTAAAATAGGAGAGATTGAAGGAGGGGGATGGGAGGCTGTGCGAATATTCTAGGAGAGCTTGGCGCTGAGGAGAAGCAAAGCGCCAAGATGTAACAAGTACTATCTGTACCTTTTTGCTATTGTTGCGTCTTCTTGTTTGACTTGGATGAATGAAGAAAATGGCTCAGACGATTGGGCGCAGTGAGTGAGCGGCGGCTTGCGTAATCGCGCGGAGGGGCTTTGATCGCTTCTATTGCTGTTTATGTTAATTTTTGTTTTGTTTTGTACACGTGGAGAGGGTTTTGACGGCGGCGAGAGTGTTCCGACTGTGGCTGTATCCTGACACAAATTCTGCGAAGGGGTTTGAAAGAGATGCCTATTGGGGCAAGTGACGATGCCTTCTTGCGGCTGTGCTGCGCAGCGTGATTGGAGGGACGGGATGGGCAGATGATGGACGGCGATACGCTGGATACTGCCGATTTGGGGGAATGAGAAGTGATGGTCCCTTTGCTTTTGGGGCCGTGGAATGTTTGAGATGGCGAAAATAAGGTACATGTGAAAACGTCATGTGGTGAAAGAAAAGACGGCGATGTGAGAGGATGAAGTTTGCGTCAGACTGTGTGGCGTGTGCCTTGGCGCAGATGCAAGATTGCCGATTTTCCGAACGGGAGGGCTTTTTTTCCCTTCCCTTTTCAATTTATTTTTATTTTGCATGCAGAGTTGGGCTTTCTTTTTCTTGGTGAGACTCTGTATGTATGTGTGGTGAGATGCAGGCGCTTTTTTGGATCTGCGGAGGATTTTGGGGGAGGGGGGGGTAGCTGTATATCCGCTGGTTTTTACGTGTATTTTAGTGAAGTTTGAATGCTTAGCTGAGCAGGATGAGTATTATTAGTTTGCTGGCTGTAATACATGACATTGCATTACATATATGCTGAGACGAGTCTGGATTTGCTTTGCTTATGAGATTATGATGAGGATTATGATTATCAAGGCGAGACGAGGAACGAGCCCGGAGTTCGGGGTCGGGGATTACACGCGAATGGCCCTGGCTGGGGGAGCGCCGTTTTTCTGCGGAGAATAATTTGGCGGTTTTGATTATTGGGAGTGCATTGGCATTAGGCATCAGTTACCGCTCGGGGATAGGTACTAATGTATGCTTGTGCAAATTCAATATTATACAGCGGAGTTGATACATGGACTTGTGGTTTGGAAAAGCATCAAGAATTTGCGCCAGAGAGTGGGATTGGATTGGATTGGATTGGATTGGATGCATTTCACTTACTGCTTTGGGGAGGGGGGTGTGTGTGGCTGCATGTAGCTACAAGCTGTACGAGTTCGTACCTGTACCTGTACCTGCACGGGTACGGTATACAGCAGGCGGAGCCCACAGTGACGTCTTGCGGAAGGCGACTGATTGAAGCCCCTGAAAGGGAGTTTTGGGCGGACGGGGATGGGCGCTGAGGCGGGAGTTTTCTCTTTAGGGGCTGGAAAGCAGTGAATGATGTGCGCCGCTGGGAGACGTACCGGTACATGTTCCTAGAGGGATTGATATTGCAGGTGCTGGCGGATGGGTTCGTGATGGGCGATCTGCAGAGGAGGCCGAAGATCGGTATCTCACAGATGCACTGCCCGTTGGCTGGACGGTAGTTGCGAATGTCCATCAAGATGCACAAGGTCGAGTGCCCAATAGGTACACGGGGCACAGAGCTGAATAAGCAAACATGAACATGGTGCAATTCGCAAAATGAGGTGAATCTCTGACGCGCGTTCCAGTTCCAGCAGGACTTGGCATTCTCGTATGTAACAGGAACAGCCACAGGAACAGGAGCAGGACAGGCACGTCTTATTCCGTACTCCGCACTCCGGGCTCCGGCTCCGTGTCCTTTGATTGGCTTTCTCTCTCTCTCTTTCTCTCTTTGCGAGCGGAAGATTGTAACCCGCATTGTACGTGTACTCGTACTGTCCCACAAGAGAGAGAGAGTGAGCGGGAGGGAGCCCGCTTGGCTTTTGCTTCCCTGGGAGGGGGAGGGGGGTGGATCAAAGCGGGCTACTCTTTTTCTTCTTCTTCTCTTTGTTTTGTCGTGCGTCTCGTGAAAGGATCCATGGATGAATCAAAGCCAGATACCGGTGCTGGGCTAGTGTTTTAGCGGTTAGAGGATTAGAAGGAGACACATGCCAGCGCCTCTTTTGGGTTCGAGAGAGTTGCTTGAAACGGGAACCAGCAGAGACTCAGCCTCCCCCTGCCGGGACCAATCGCCAGCGTTGTGGGTTTATTAGCGGGCGTGTGAGAGAGAGTGTGAGAGGTGTGAGGGTGAGATGGTGGTTGATGATGCGATACCATGTACAAAAGCGTAGTGAGAGTGTCTGTTTGTTAGAGGTTTGCGTTGATGAGAGCTTCGCACGAGTGACACGTGAAGATTAGAGCCAGAACGGGACTGGATGCATTTTTCTCGAGGTAGCGAATCAACCCATGGATCCCATTTCAGTCAACATATCAACTGGCAATCAATCCGATGCCCTGTGCTGCGTGCTGGGCTGCTAAAACAGCCGCTGGAGATGCGCTGCTGCAGCGGCTCTCGAGAGCGCCCGACTCCCCGTCCTAGCGCCCTGCCATTACGTCTCGCAGCGCCTCGTACGGGAACCGACGTCCATCCACCAAGTGACAAATGGCAGCCCGTTGAGCTTGTCGTATGTACACGCCCCCTGGTCGGGGTACGAGTAGGTACATGGTTTTCCCTTTCCTCTCTCTTTTGTTCCTGAATCCCTGCCCTGCGCACTTTGTTCTGCTTTCTTATTTCTTTTAGCCCAGGCGATCGCTCTCGTTCTTCCACCTACTCGTATCATCTTTTATCCACCGCGACATTCCTTTTTCATTCCTTTTCGCCTTTGGTCTTTCCACTCGTTGCATCCTTTCTTCGTCTCGTCCTCGCTGCCAGGGAGCGCGACAAACAAGACAGACGCTCGCTTCCACCTCATCTCTTGTCGGGCTGCATTCCAACCCGCAGAAACCTCTCCCTTTCTCCGTGGACGTGGACCCGTAGAATTCTCGACCCAGGCTGGATCCGAATCGAATCAAACCCAAGACAGCTCCGGGGTTTCCGCCGACTCGCGACCGAGAAACCGAAGAGGGCGCATCGAGAGGCGCAGGGAGGAAAGGGGATCTTTGCTGGCGACGGCGACGACGACGGCTCACCACTGAAATCACGACTTGACGACGCAAACATTGTTTAGACCTAGACCTAGACCTAGACCCAGACCCAGAACCAGGAGCATCGCACAATCACGCCTCGATACGCCACGACTGCCGCGGACAGCGGGCGACCAACGAATCGATCCAACCAGGGCGACGTCGAGTTGGCCGTGCGCAATTTGCTGGCAAACAAGCTGGCCATTGCCCCCCTGTGGGCTCACAAAACGAAACAAAAACAACGACTGTTTGCATCCTGACGCTGCAGTCCGCCAAAATGTTCAATCTCACGTGTAACTCGACGTTGGAGGATATGAGGAGTATGTTTCTCCCCACCGCCCGCGCAAAGCTCCGTCATGCGTCTCCCGTTGCTCTTGTCCCGCGACGACGGCCCGGACCCTTCACACAAAGGCTAACGCCCTAGCAGTCTCTCCGGGATCCGAAATCAAGATCGCCGGACCTCTCAACTTCCACGACCTTGCCCGCGTCATCTCGGCAGGATGTACCCTCATCGCCGTTGTGCTGAGCCTGTACCTCATTGCCATGCACGCCACGCACTACACACAGCCCAAGGAACAACGACAGTAAGCGGCAACCTGACATGGTCCAAGGCGTGGACCAACTGGCTAACCATCGTCGGCAGCATCATCCGTATCCTCTTCATGATCCCCGTCTACGCCATCTCCTCGTTCATGCAGCTGCAATGGTATTGGCGCGCCACCTACTTCTCCGTCATCTCAGACTGCTACGAGGCCTTTGCCATTGCCTCCTTTTTCGGCCTGATATGCCACTACTCTGCACCCGACCTGCACACGCAAAAGGAATTCTTTCGAAACCTGCGCCCCATCCAGGGCTGGGTCCTGCCCATCAACTGGTTCGCCAAATGCTGCGGTGGAGAGAGGGGCCCCTGGCGCACTCCCAAGAGCGGCCTCACCTGGTTCAACATCATCTGGATAGGCGTCTACCAGTACTGCTTCATCCGCGTTGCCATGACCATTACCGCCGTCCTCACTGAGCACTATGGTCGCTACTGCGAGAGCTCCAACTCTCCGGTTTTTGCTCACATCTGGGTAAGCGGGCCAATCGCCTTTCGCCCTCACATTACATCATCTACAGGCTTGACAAGCCGTTTTGGTGACTTGGCTAACGTGATGGCTGTTGTGGTTATAGGTTCTTGTCATCAATGCCGTTTCCGTAACCATTGCCATGTACTGCCTCATTCAATTTTACATTCAGCTTGCGAAGCCTCTTGCCGAGCATAGTCTCTTTTTGAAGATTCTCGCCATCAAGCTCGTCGTCTTCTTGTCCTTTTGGCAGTCCTCGGCCATTTCCGTCGGCACCTCGACACTCAACATCGTCAAGCCCGGCGACGTTCTCGCCTATCCGGACCTCAAGGTGGGCATCCCGGCCCTTTTGCTCTGCGTCGAAATGGCCATCTTTTCTGTCTTGCACATCTGGGCCTTTCCCTACCAAGTCTATCGCCGCGGTGCCTCTTCGGGCTTCTACCCAAGCCCTGATGCGTCAAAGGGCACCGTTGGTCTGGAGAAGCCCGCTCTGCCGAACAGAGGTGGCTTCCTCGGTCTTCGTGCGCTGTGGGATGCCATGAACTTGTGGGATCTGGTCAAGGCCTTTGGCAGAGGTATGCGCTGGCTCTTCTGCGGCGTCAAGAGGCGGAAGGAGGACGTCAGCTACAAGCTTGGCACTTCCAACGACGAGGCCCTGAGCATGAGCAATCTGCACGAGCCAAAGCCCCAGGGAGCATACAATCCCGCCTTTGAAGACCCGACGACAACCGCATATCACGGCGTGAGTGGCGGCATCATGTCACCGACCGGCGACGAGAGAGTTGGCCTGATTTACGATGCTCAACCGAACCCCGACTCAGGCTTGAGGGGACCATCGCCGCCTGCAGTCTACCATCATCCATCAGATTCGCAGCAATACTCGTTCGATCCGCCTCCATACGGCGGCGCGGCGCACGCGCAGTCTCCCTACAGCTCATACGACCAGTCACCTCCACAGCGCCCACCACGGCCTTTTTAAGGCCTGCGAACAAAGAGGAACAGAGGAGAGAGACCCAGGTTGACGAAACAAAGAAAAAATCCAACACAAATATGAAAATCTGAAGGAGATTCTTTTTTTTGCAAAACCAAAACCCAAAATAGACAAAGGAAAGATGAAATCTCATTCACAACTCATGACGGCTGTCTTAAATCACGATACCAACGGTAGGGAGGGCGCAACAGGTGGCTGAAGGGTTTTATTTTTTTTTGCTTCATGCTTTTATTGCTTTCACCACAATTTTTTTATAACGCATTTCTGGGGTTTTTGATATATGCGAGATTTCGTCATGCTCTTTATTTTTTCTTTGAAGCCCACCGATGCAGATTAGGGGAGAGAATGTATCATTTTGATGGTTCTTTTATCTTTCCCCCCCCCATTTGCATTTGCTTATTTTTTTTTTTTTTTCATTTTCACACACATTGTTCATTTGGTTGTTCAGCTCAGAAACATGGCAAAAAAGCGAGCGGGCAGTGTATATAGATGGGACAGAGAGAGACTGACAGGACAAAGACGAGAGAGAATGACATCGCGTGGATGTGGGGGAGTTGTTACTGGCGAATATGCCATGATGAAATAGAAACAATTTGGATTACTTTCTCTCTCTCTCTCTCTTTTTTTTTCATTGTGATACTAATGATTGAATATGACTCTGTTCTTGCTCATGAGTTGACTGGCAACCTGTAAACTCCAGTGGGCCGGTGTGCTTCAGATAAAGCATGGCCCACCGTCTAGCTCCCCCAGTGGCGCCGTCCTGCAATAACGAACAAGGGGTCTGTTTACATACCTTACTTAGTAGGTAGGTACACTTCTATAAATAGCGTCAAACAGCCGGAAATAGAGAACGAAACGGGAACTACAATAGCGCGTGGAGCTTATAGTCTATAGTGCGTAATCAGTGACGATGCTTCCAACAAATAAGCACAAGGCAGAGTGCCAGAGTGGTTAATGGGTATGACTAGAAATCATATGGTTTCGGCCTCGCAGGTTCGAATCCTGTCTCTGTCGAGGACAACGAATTCTTTTTTTTCCCAGTCTTTCTTTTCTTCTTCTTTGCGAGTCTTTCCTTTTTTCTTTTTTGGGGGGACCATCATTGGTTGTGTTGTGCGGTTCAATTGAGATGAAAAAGTTAATTTGTTACTTCTTTTTGTGTGTTGAAAACTTGTCGGGTGTCAATACCGTGTGGTTTCGGACGCCTCAAAGTTTATCCGACCACTGACATTGTGCTTGGAGGTGACAAGTTCAAATTCATGGTTCTTTAGATATGCGAGATTGCTGGATATGTCAACTCTGGTAGTTATTGTCGATGAAGCGAGATGAATAATAGACACATCGCCATGAAGCCATCAAATCAACCCTCCCTCAAAGTCAAGTGCTCTTCATCAATAAATCGGCAACCCCATCACTTATACTTAACACACTCATTCAGCGATTCAAACCAAATATATTTTCATCCAGCACTTGTTCTGCTGGGGCGAATCCCGCCACGCTGGGGACCGTCGCTATTCCGTGTACGCTTTATATCTGCTCAATGTCCCTTTGTGTTCCAATATGTACAGCTATCCAGCCAATTGTTGCCGCGAGCCGCCTCCCTGCCCGTACTCCATTATGTCAAAAGCCACCAGTTATGCCAACGTCGGCTGCCGTCCCCCCCAAATCCAAGACGCAATTATTACTAGAGCACGAAATATGCCGTGAGTTGCACCGTGCAATATATTACCGTGACGCAAGTTCCGCAGGGGTCCTTCATCGGTCGCAATCTCGTCTCGTGGTGTCGAGTTTCTTCTCATCTCGACTCCCGAGCCGACAAACATCCCATTTGGCGGACCCCCCTATTTCTTGCCTCATGCTTCCCCCACCTCCCGCCTTTAAAAACGAAAAAGCTGCCAACGCCATCCTGGTATCTCGAAAGGCAACAAGACCCCGAAATCTTTTGTTTTGTCATGTGTATTCGAATCCGAACGGCGAAACTTCATATATGTGATCATGACACTCGGATCTTTCTAAAATGAGAGAGGAAAAGGGAAAAAAGGAAAAAAAGAAAAAAGAAAAAACCTGTCCAACGCGCGAGACAAAAAGACACAAATAACCAGGAAAGAAACCACGTATGCACACAAACGAGTTGAAAGAAAGAAAAGAAAAAGGCACGCGGCTGCCTTATCAATCTTCGGGGTCTGGATTCGTGGCCCGGAGCACCGGGGGGTGGATCCGTCGTGAATAGTCATGATCGTCGCGGATCGTGTTAAGACTCTCGTGGCTGCCGCGGATGTATAGGCCTTGCTTAAACGGGTCCATTCGAGGATCGATCTGGATGGTGCTGTTTCTGTTGACGGCCGAAACTGGCGAAGCCGGCGAGCCGCTGTTGGCGCTCATCTCTGGGGGAACCGATCCCACCATGCCGGATGAGCTGCCTCTGACGCTCGGGTCGTCCCGGTACTCGTCGTTCCTGCTTTGTCGTCTCCGCCGGTACAAGAAGAAAGCAGCACCACCAAGGACGAGCAAGCCGCCAACAACGCCAACCACGATGCCAACAATGGCACCCGTACCCAGTCCAGAATGCTTCACCGGTGTGGCGTTTTGGCTGTCTCCGCTTGGGTCTTGCGAGGGAGAGCTGTTATCCGACGTCTGCCCAGGAGGTGGCGTGGTGGAAGTGGTGGAGGTGGAGAAGGTGGTGGAAGAGGACGACGACGAATCGGTCGATGACTAGGAAACTTGTTAGCCGAGCTGCTCTCTCACCGCGCATCAAGTCAGCATTCAGAGATCCGCGGTGCAAACCGCCATCTGAGACAAGTCATACAGAGGATGAGCTACTCGAGGAAGTAGTCGACGTCTCTGATGTGGAAGAAGAGGAGGATGAGGCGGAGGCGGAGGTGGAAGTAGTTGTGGAGCTGGAGGCCGTTGTAGCGGATGTTGAAGCTGTGCTCTGCACCACAGTCTTAGTCACACTATTGGTCACTTCACGATGTTCTCCTGAATCCCCAGAAGGATTTGACCCCCCACTGGTTTCCCAGGAGAACAATTGAACAAGGAGTTTTGGACAAAGAAGAGGCAGTACATAGAGTGGTGGCCGTGCAGAGAGTTGTGCCTCCAGTTCGTAATCCGGCTCTCGCGCCATACATTCATGTTTGGTTCAGGGTGCAACGGCTGCAGCATGGCAGGAAAACAAAAGTCTTTGACTCACCTGAGTTGGACTTGATGTTGGAGGCGGTTCCGTCTTGGTGCCCGACGGCGCGACTTCGTTTAACAAGATATAACCGTATAATCCAGGGCCGCCGCAGTTCTCCGAGGGCCACGCCGGGCAAGGATCATTACAGTTCTTAACGTCAACCGTTGAGGCCTTGTCAGGGAAGTAGTTGGAGCACCAGCATGAATTTTGCTGTGTGATGGAAAAGGCGTAATTCTTCTTGGTACAGAATCCTCCGCAAAGGCCATTCGTTTGATATATGCTGACGTCTGCGAAAGGGTTAGATGGTTTGCCGCATGTTTACATCTCCAGGCGCCAAACTTACTCAATGGCGTTTCGCCTGTGTTGAAACTAGAACAAACGTTGATGCTAATGGCAGAAATCCAAGTGGAAAATGACAACACCAGCAAAAGCATGTAGCCCTTTTGCAGGGTGCGGACTCCCAACGGGGCCATGGTCGATATTTGGGAGAGTAAGAGTCTTGGAGATGGTTGATTTTCAGGCTGCAGACTTGAATGGTCATGCAGGTTTTCAAGGGCGGTTCCGTTGAAAATTCTTCAGCGACGTGACTTTTGTTTGGCTGAGCTGACTCGTCTTTTGATCCCTTGTTGAGGGGTTCCCTTGGCCTTTTTTTGTCGATCCAGGAGGCTTTTTAGTGACAAGCCATAACCACCTCTGCCGGTTGTTTGTTGAACCGTAGACAGCACAAAGGCTGAATGGCCGAGACGGGAGAACGGATTAACGCTTCAGAATCGTTCAAAATCGATATTCTCGATAATATTTCGAAATCGCACTCGAAGCAGCAGTGAAGCAGCCGAGTCGGGGTGGATGATGTCTTGGTTCAAGTCTGGGGAAATTCGCGTTGAAATCAGAGACACAACGGCGTGCTTGCGAGCCAAGAAGCCGACGGCTGGAATGCTTCGATAACAGCTGTGTGACGTATCGTCGAGGCCAAAGTCCGTAACGGAGCAGACTGGAATGCGCGGCCAGACGCAAGCAGGACCAAAAGCGAGTGCTGTCCGTACACAGCCGAACGATGTAGAGCAGTACCAACGAAATAAACAAGACTGCTCGCAGCACCCAACAGAGGATCGATCTGTCTCAGGATGCCAAGATTTCCAGAACGAAGCCGAAATAAACAAGAGAAGAATAAGAGACAAAAGAAATAGAAACCAAAAAAAAGGGAGGATGGGATGGGCGACCAGCAAGCGGAGACTGATGAGAAAATATCCCGAGCTAAGGCTACCGAGGCTGCCTTTTCAAGGTTGCGGGCTGTTGCGAGCTGCCAAACCGGTCTGGAGGAGGATGATCACAGCTGACGGCCCGAGCGTGGCTGGAGACAGACGGGCGAAAAACGAGCGCGACTGTCTAGCTCTGACTAACGGAGGCGTCGGCGATGGTGATGATAGTGATGGTGATGCTGAGATTGTGATTGTGCCGGGTCGAGGCTGTTGCTGTTGCTGTTGTGCCGCAAAAAGGGGAGGCTGAGAGGAGGAGAGGTTGAAAGTGAGAGGAAGAGGAGGAGGAAGAAAGAGGTCTGGAGATTTCAAGGTGCTGGATGGCAAAGTACGAGTACAAGTGGAGGTACTACGAGTACATGTACAGTAGTGGACAGGCTGCAGGCCTTTTTTACAGGCTTCCAGTCGCTACAGGCTACAGGCATGGAAGACCCCGGGGAGATCAGGCCCGAGCGCTGCAGTGACAAGTGACGGGGGGTGACTGGGGGGGGGGGGGAGATGGATGGATGGATGGAGGGATGGCGTGAGTGACAAGCAGCAGATGCTGTGGAGGAAGAGGGAAAAAGAGGAGCCGCAGTGCATGATAATGATAATGGTGTCAATTAGTATAGACTTCTTTGATCAGTTTTTAGTTTTTAATTTTCTAGTACCCTGCCGTATTTACCAGATAGAGACGGGACAGAGCTGTTCTGTTCAGGTCTTGTTCCGCATCTGGCTGTTCCCAAGTCTCCTTGCCCTTCGAGGCCAAACTGCCAATCCGTACCGGTACTTCGTAAAGGGAAGAGCAACGCCACGCTAGCCCGTCGCAACCCCTGGCCCCATGGCGTCACTGGGGCGCTACGGGCTACGGGGCAGCAGATGGCGGCATCTGGCCAGCAGGCTAAAGGGCTGCTGGACGCTGCTAAGGGCGCTAGAGGCTGCTAAAGGCCGTGGGCTGGAGTCGCAGTCAAGCCACAGTTGGTGCGTTGTTTTGGCAGGACTCGTTCGAGGGAACCAGGTGGATGGGATTGCTGCTTCTGGTGGTCCGTTTGCGATCGAGGCGGCGATCTTGCTCAATGAATTAACCCGGTCGTCTATACGGCCGGACGAGGGTCGAGGTTTGTATATGTACTGTACATGTACTGGTCCATGGATGTCAACGTGCTCGTACGCCGGCTGTGGCTGAGAAAGGTACTGGACTGGACATCCATCCAACTACAGCAACGTGCAAGGCAAGGGGAGGCGAATGGAAAGTCTTGGATGTTGTGTACTATGGACCGCATAATGCATTAATACCTGTTGTTGCTGCATTGCGGTTTTATGACGCGACCATGAGGGCAGAGACTGCATAAAACGTTGCATCACCGGGATCTCATAACATCATGATCATTCACAGCGTGTGATGCTGTCCCCCATTTGTCATGGCTTTATCACCATCGACTTCAGTACTGTTACTAATATGTACTAAACTGCTTGACACCAGACATGTACTTACTCGGAGCTCCAGCTTCGCCAACTGAAACGGCGCATCTGCCCCGGCTCATCGAAATCTTCCGCTATCAAGTCCAACAACCGCTTTTACCTTACCTAGACAACTACTAGATTCAGCAAAACGGAGCCCAGATATGGACACAATGGTTGATGGCGCTCAACTTTCGGTACGTACCGTCAGCAGCGCCGTGTCCGTCCCGTCTTTCGCCTTTGTACAGCTACAAGCACCAACTCAAGCCTTCAAATGGTGCTAGAACGAGGTGGCGAGAGCGAAGCGGAAGGTGCCATTGAAGCTCCCTTAGGCTCGAATTCAATTCAGGCCACGCCGCTTGTTTTCCTCTTCGCCTCCCACCATTTACAAAACATCACCCAGAATCTGTATTCAAAATCAAACCCCAAATCTTCTTCCACCAGCACGCCGAATGACAAAAAAAAAAAGGGTCACGATGGCCGCACAGAGCCAAGAGCCCAGTAACGAACTACGGATCATACGGACCCGGCAGAAAGGTGCGAAAAAAAAAAAAGGTCACAGCACGAGACAATACGAAACTGCTCTGCACCTGTGGCCGACGAATACGAGGCAAAGATGACGGCGTGTGGGCTGCTGCTCGTACGGAGTAACCGCCCTCGGCCTGAGTGTGGCCCAGTCGCCCAATGACGCTGAGGCCCAGCGCACGTCGCGGTTGGTTTGCCCTGACCCTTGACGATTTTTGACTGCCATCGATCCATGTCCAGCTGTGGCCAAGCCAAGACTGCAGCAGCCAAATCTCCACCATGGACATGTGTCCACTCACACACGCACGCATACGCACATTCGCTTCGGACGTCTGTACATGCCTGACTGCGCTATACCGCTCGGGGCATGTACGGGGGACCTGGATCGAGGACGGGACTGCATACGAAGCACGCTGATTGATATGCGATACGAAGGACGGATCACGCGGTTCGAGGTGGAAAGGCTTTCCAAGTGATGGATTGCCGTCTAAGGCATCCATCAAGTACAATGCCAATGTGTGTGCCCTGGTAACAGATAACAAACAGCGCTACAACATACTATTTCCTGCCTTGGACCCGTCCTCTTTCGAATCGGATCCATCCAGAGACAGGCTGCTCTAGGACGATCAGGGGAAGGCTCCAAGGTGTGTCCACGCCTCGCACCGGCAGCAAAAAAGATTTCTCGGGTCCATGACGAATATAATTCTGGCTGAGCGGGAAAGCAAGGACCGGGATGTGGTTGGCAGTGGGGTTGGTGGTACCGCATCCTGGGCTTGGCCGGATCTGTTTGTCCTCGTTTTCTGCCGCAGAGAAAGCTTCTCCTACAGTCCATTTTTTTTTTGGCCCCCTGTAGGAGTCGATCGATGCTTGTTACAAGCAGCTGCCGCAGCAACATCCAAAGCGACGGCGCCTCTTGAGGACATGGACGTCGATAATTCTTCAGATGCCTGGCCGGCTGCAAAAGAGACAGATAGTGACACTTGCTGGCAAGGAGACGGCCTTGCTTGTATAACAACATGTGGCCGCCAACTTCTACTTGCACATGACCGTCTCGATGATACTCGGCGGCAAGGCCAATATCGAATTGCCGATATCTGACATGGCACTGCTCACTGATAAGTGTGAGTAGTACAAGTACAGTACCTTGAGAAGCAGCCCTGTCTGGCCATATCGGAGACAACAGACCCCACGCCGCAGCCTTGATTTCGCTCATGCCGGTGGGCCACGCTCGACCCCATCGAATCTTTACCTTGAGAAGCGAATTTGACGAAACGGATCGATTTTCTGGAATACAACTCGCCTCAGTTGTGCTATTTTTACTTCAGCCGCCTCGTACTGATGCATCCGCTGCAACGGTCCAAACGGCATCGACTGCTCGTGATATGCACTCGTGCACGATGGGCGTGAAGCGGTAGGGGTCTGTGGGTGCAGACAAAATGCAGCACATGGATCAAGCTTAAAGAACCTATCAACACGGCGGCGGCGTCTGTTCCCCGCATGCATTGGTCTGAAAGCTCATTCGATGCCTCCTGCAAGAGGAACCAGCTCTCGGCAAAATAAACCAGACCATCCCCGCAAACACAATCCACGCGTCCTCACGTCCAGCCACAGATTCTCAAAGTCTCTTCCGGGAGGGCTGCTTTCTTGCATTGGCCAATCGCAATGATACTCCCCCCACGGTTCGTCTCTCCCCCTCATCCCAACCTCCCCATCCCAACCTCCCAAATATGCAGCTTTTCGAATGGGAAGACGGATAGGTCTCAAGCCTGGACACCACCCTGCAGGTGTTGCAAGACTCTGCGGTGACGCAAAGACAACCTGATAGCCTAGTGTTGTTACCGGTGGTGAGACTGATGCGTTTGCACTTTTTGTGTCGGATGTCACGGCGTTGGTCTTTCAAGTGATCGGCGCTGATAAGCGGTCGACCCGGTACCGCGCCGCTAATACGTACGATACATGCATCGTACGATTCACTTGTCTTGAACACACTGCGGGATAGGTTATGCGCACACTCTTGCTCCGTACGGCAGATGGCTGTATCGAGGACATAGCTACGTGCCCGTCCCTGAGAAGCAGGCGTAATTCTTGTTCAGCATCTAAACCCCAGTGGATCTCTGCCGCGTCGTATTGAGAAAGTGCCAACTCTAATGCCCATCCATCCCCTTCTTAGCAGCGTATGCCAAGCTGAGATGAGAAGATAAAAATAGGAGAATGATGGCAAAGGTTCTAGATTATCGTTGGACCAAAGAAAAGGAGAATTGAAAACTCCTTGGTCATTTGCGCCACAGAATGACGCCTCGTTTGCCGATCTATAGGTCGAGAGATCGACAGGCTAGGACGATGGATCGTCGCTAATATTGGGAGCAGCCGCAACGGGTGTTTCAAACACAGGGCTTTTTCTTTCGCCAGACTACGACTGCCAATCGTTTATGACCGAAGGACAGAAAGCCCTCACGTTGATGATTTCTCTCTGTGCGTATATCCACACGGCCCATGTTTCCACACGCAGGCAGTGTGAGGTGAGGGTGTACGGTATACACATACAAGTATGACCTTCATCACAGACACACAGGCTGCCGAGTGCGGTGACCATTTGGCTGCTCAACCTGTCTCCAGCGACTTATGCCCAGTTCTTCCAGCCTTCGTTGATATTAGCGTGACTGCTACTGTTCCAAACTAAAGGAAGCGGCTCCGTTGCTGGCGGGCCACGTTCAAGAAGTCTGGAGCAGCCCTAATAAAGCGCCAGCAACAACGAACCGAGTCAGCCAGTCCACAGTGGTATGAAACTTTGATTCTCTTGGCCTTGGCTTCTCACGGTTACCATGAGAGACGAAGCTTTACGCCGTCATGAGCATGTTTGCATGTGTTCAAGCCCAAAGGACGTTTGAGTATGACTTGTGGGTACGGGGACAACCTTGTTGTCCCGATTCCGGTTTGCACGTTTGCTCTATTTTGCTCATGGTACAGCGCGAGTTTACGATACTCACTCTTAACCCATCACATGTAAAGTCCATCCCGAGTGTGTACTTGTACTGTACGAGTCCACGGCCCGGAGTGGAGTTGACGGATGCTTGAAGTTGGAGTTGGAGTTGAGGGCTTGGCTCTTCAGCCTCAGCCCCAGCGGAGTTGACGAGAAACCCGGAGGCCAACCTGCGAGCTTTCGGCCCCTATTATCCTGATACTACCTGACATTCGACACACGCAGAAACGGCCCGTGCTGCCAACGAGGCTTGATCGCTCCAGGGTCCATCCCTAACGCATGCAAAGTCTAAGGAACGGGCCCAATATGGCAACAGATTTTTCTTTGTCCACAAAACCCGGAGCTGAAAACCCCCCCCCGCGCCGCGCCAGCCCAACGCCCGCGAATACGAGAAGCCGCTGGGACTATTGACGGCTCTAAGCTGCGGTAGCGCCGTGGCTGTTGGCAATGTTTGGACGGGCAACTAAGCACTGCGATTCACGAGAAAAGTATACAGTTGTTGCTGTTGCGCGGGCCTCGGTGTGATGTGGTATATATTACATGGTTCCTGTGAGAGGATGAGGAGTTGAACATGGACAAGGTCTAGCGGGATGAAGTTGACCGTACCGAAAGCCACGTCGCGCCGCAATTGCCGTATGGGGACTTGGTTCGTAAACCTAATCAACTATGCGACTCTGAGAAAGTAAAGGGGTAAGTGAGATCTGATACGCCGTGCATGCTTGTAGATGCTGGAGGTTGACGCGGCTTGAATACGCATACGCATACGCATTGGCTTTTCGAATTGGCAAACAGGCGTGTGTCAAGACTGTAAGATGAAATTGCCACAATTGTCTGTTTGCTATGACGGTAAGGCCTATTAGCTAGTTTCTGAGAGAAACTAACGTTTATGAAGTTTGTAATTATTATACGGAGTGGCAGACGGGAGCGAGTTTGGCAGGGTGGCTGATGGGATGGGCTTTGTTACACGTGGGCTGAGTTGCGCAACCTGATAAGCCAGTGCTTGATTTGACCTTGGCAACGGGTGTCAAGTGTCATAAAAAAAGAAAAAGCCCTTGTTTGACATGAGCTATTTTATACTTTTTGGCTGCGTTTGTGGCACTATGGCATTGACAACAGGCATTGAGGGCATCTCAAAGGAAAACCGCCAATCTCGAGTGTTGTTGATGACTGCCGGTGCTAGCATGACCGATTACTGCACATTTGCGGCATCTGGGAGATGGCGGAGCATCTTCGGGTCCCGATAAGTCCAAGTCCAAATCCAAGTCTAACCACCGGCTACGCGCGGCATCGCAGTCGCAATCGCATCACGTCGCATGTCACTTTACCAGCAAACAAACAAACAATCCATCAGCATTATATTACCTTCTGTGAAACCTGCATTGCCATTTGTGCAAGGGAACAAAAAAAATACATCAGCAAATCTCCTTCGATGCGGGTCGCGCATGTGACCGCCTGCCGCCTGGTCTGAGTCAACCATCCCTATCTCGATCTCGACTCTCCATCGGCTGTCTCGCGATCGCAACTCATCCCCAACCAGCGGTTACACCTGTTACACCATCGCATCCTCTCTTCCACCGCTCACAATGGGCGCCATATCCCTCCCCCTCAAGCCCCTCAAGCCGGCCCCTCGCCGCCGCCAGCTCCCCGTCCTCATGGCCGTCTGCGTCCTCGGCGCAATGGCCCTCTTCTACATGCTCCTCGCCATTGCGCCATGCATGGTCGGCGCGACATGCTACAGAGGCTACCGGTCTGCCTACAGCTTCGACGCCGGCGACGACCTGCATCCGGATTGGATGGCGGCGATTCCCGACGACGTCCGCCTCACCAGCTTGAGCATCCCCGGAACCCACGATACCATGACGTACGAGATTGGGTCGGAGCAGCTGCAGTGCCAGAATTGGAATCTGAGCATGCAGTTGAACAGCGGGCTGCGATATCTCGATATCAGGGCGAGGCTGAGGGATGACGAGCTGCACATTTATCACGCGAATGGGTATACCGGCTTCGGATACCAACAGGTCCTCCTCGACGTCTTCGCGTTCCTCGACGCCCATCCCTCCGAGACGGTCATCATGCGTCTCAAGGAGGAAGGAAACCCCGTCGGCTCCAACAACTCCATCTCCTTCGAAGACGCCTTCAACTACCACCACTTCTCCTCCCCCGCCACCGCGCCCGGCTCCGCGAAGCACCTCCACAAATACCAATTCGCCGCTCCCATCCCTACCCTCGGCGCCCTCCGCTCCAAGATATTCATCCTGCAAAACTTTGACGCTCGCAATGGCCCGTACGGTCTCCGCTGGGAAGGCCCCGAGATGGTCCTCGAAGATCTATGGATCATCCCAGACGTCTACCACCTTTCCGAGAAATGGAACGCCATCCGCGACGCTCTCGAAAACGCCGCGCTGGCACCGGACGATAACCGCTTCCTCTACTTGGCGCATACGTCCGCCTCGGTGGGCGTGCTCCCCATCGAAGCTGCGGCTGGACCGATGAACAGGACGATCCAGGGCATGAACGACATGACGGGGCAGTATCTCGAGGATGCGTCGGCCAATGTTGACGAGGCGCGGGTGGGCGTTGTCATCATCGATTTCCCGGGCAAGAAGCTGATTAAGACGATTTTGAAATGGAATGTTTGGCTAAAGTGATGGGTGTTGCACGGCATTGATAAGATAGATTTTTTTGCATTCTTTGACTTGAGACATGGCGTTTGTTGTTTGGATCGACTATTGCATACATACCGTCCACGTACGGAGAACACCGATATATATATACTACACGCGAAGCTTGTGCACTGTACACTACCAGGGTAGAGCACGGCTTGGAATTTAGATACAAATCTCTTGGATAACCCAAACCAAACCAAAAACGAAGGGACTCGTATATACCCATACACACATACATACATACACGGCATCGAACTAGATCCGTTGCTCAATCTCTCCCATACATCCATCTGCCAGCCAAATCCATCCCACCCGTCCATCCGCCTCCCGCCATCCTATCCTAGGCTATATACAAGAAAATAGCATCCAAAAAAAAAACGAAAAAGAACGCTCAGTTACAATTTTTCGCAAAACGAGAGAAGATGCGGTAACAAACTCCAATGTCTCCCAACCGTATGCAGATCCCCGCTTATAAAACACCCCTCAAATTACCCTTATAAAAAAAAATCCCAATATCCCATTTCCTTCCTCCTTATTGCCGTCTGAGATCTTCGCTTCGCAATGATTTCTTGCTCTTGACACTCCGTATCGCCGGTGTGTTTGACCTGCTGATCGACGGACTGGCTTCTTTGGTCGGACTACTGCCCTGGCTCTCAATACGGTCCACCATTTGCAGCACTCTCGTCTTGGGACGCTCAAACGTCATGGCTTCTGCCGTGTAAACGCTCGCCGACCTAGCAAACGAGACATCCGTCGCTACTGAGAGCGGTCTCGACATGTCCGTCACCACCGAAAGCGGCCGTTCAATCATTTCGCCTCTCTCACTTCCCTCGCTCCTATCTTCATAATCGTCCTGGTTGATTCTCAAGAAGCCGTCATCGCGATCGCCTTGGTCCACGGGCACGCCTCCGCCCTCGTCATCAAGATGAGAGCTAAGCTTGCTGCCGCTGCGAAGCGAAGGAGTCACCATCGATAACCGTTTATCCATGTCAATAAGCTCTGCTGTCTGTGGCATATGAAGGGGCTGTCTTTCATCAGTACTCGTCCCGTCGTCAAGATCATCGGCGTTTACGACGCGAAGGCGCTCCTTGGGGACGGTGAACATGACTTGTACGAGGCGATTCTCCACGGCTCTTTCGATATCCCATTCGTTTTCCTGAGCACCGCTGCCCTCGCCACTCTCCCAGTCTTGGCGACCTTGCTTTCTCCGAAGAAGCTCGCTACCAAGAGCTGCAAGCGGGGGTTCGTAATCGTGACTCAGCATGTCTGTCGATATCTCTCGCTGAGGAGATCTATCTCTGACAGACAAGTCTCCCGAGGTGGACTCTGAGCCAGAAAAAACACGTCTCAGTGAACCTAGCCAGCTTCGTCGAGGCGGCTTGGATTTCGACGGCGAGCTGGGCTGTAACTCGTCATCTTCAAATGGACTTGATGGCGTTGTCCTGCCGAGCAGCAGGTTGGGGCCTTCTGCTTGCAACGCGCCGAATCCTGATTTCGCCGTGTTGTAGCTGCTGGAAGAGGAGCTACCAGGCTTGCCCGGCTCTGTGGTAGGTGCCGATGAACCTCCAAAGAGGCCCCCGGTAACAATGGCGGACCATCGGCCGGAGCTAGATCGACCCAGGCCATCTCCCGCACTGCGATTTGATTCGGATAGAGCTGATTCGGTGCGAAGATCGTCTTCTCGTGCGCCGGACGAGCGTTGGGAGTTTCGCCGTGTGGGAGATCCACGGCCCTGTGCTCGAGTACTATTATACCTGGCCAGCATAGCGTCCGCAGCGTCAACATCGGACACCCAATCTTGCACATCCGGATCGTGTTGAAAGGGGCCATCTGTGCTTGGACCAGCCGTGCTTTGGCCAGGGGGCGGAGGTTGGAACACTGGCAGACCCCCCGAGGCAATGGCAACTGTCGGTGTCAGGAATGGATCGGAATATGCGTCTGACGTCGGTGTGGTGGCCTCGACAGGATTGACACGCTGATAGGCCAAGTCCTCCTCCTCATCCTCCATGATAGGGTGGATTTGACCTGGAGTAGATACAAAGCTATTCAGCTGATTCGCCGGTATATAACCGCCACGAATCTGTCTAGACACTGGCTTCCTCGCAACACCTGGTACGACGGGGGCATAGCCGCCATATGAGCCGCGTAGGCTCTCGTACCCCATGGATCGATCATCTCCACTACTGCTATATGGATCCTGCCCGTTGTTGTACCAGCTGCGATAACCCCAGGGGTAAGTGTCTGGTCGCTCCGTCATGTCAACAGAGTCGTGGATAAACATGCTGGCATCCTGAGCCATACCCCTGATTGTCTCCTCACGGGCAGCCCGCCTCCTCTGCCTCTTACGCCAGCAGAAGAACATGACCAGGACCAGAACAAGGAGAACCAGCCCGCCACCAATCCCAAATCCAATGCTTAATCCCAAAATCTTAGCCTTGGATGAATCATCGGATGGATTAGCAGTTGGGGTGGGGGAGGCATGGGGGCCTTTGCCATCGGGCTCGGCGGGAGTAGGATTGTTGTAGGTCGTCGCCCAGGTCAAGTCGGTCAAATTCAAGAATTGCGGCGATGTGGTGACGCCGGATTGTCGCTTCATCTTGCTTGACGAGTCCGAATCGCTAATCTGCCAACCTCCGTACACCATCATCACATTTCCCGGCAGGATAGCCGCGCCGTGCCCATAGATGCCGGAGTCTCCAAAATCCGGCTGTTGCTTGGGAATGGTCCATCTCCACGAGTCGTATGCCTGGCCCATTTCCAAGATGGCGAGCTGTGGCTCCGCTGCATTTGTCACGTCGCCGACCCAACCTCCCAACACGATGATGGAACGCCCGTCCAGGCTTAGAGTGGCCGTATGGCCGGATCGACTCTCCACGCCATCGGGACTGTCGGTCGACTGCTGGACGTTGACGTATGACCATGACTCCTCGGGGAGATTCCACACAGCAGAGGTACTCATGTTGATAAAAGCTTGCTTGGTATGACCGCCGATGATGACGTACGCGGTCTGCTGTGTGACCGTTCCAGAGTTGTTGCTCATCGAACTTTGCAGCGCGGTAAGACTGAAGCCGGCAATGGGCGTCTTGGGCCCAGAGTTTGAGGCAGTGCCCTGAGCATACGACTTGGACGAAGGGCTGTTGTCGGCTGGAGTGAGAGCCATCATGCCGGTGGTGTAATTCGCCTCAGACTGCCATTTCTTCGAGCTATCCGACGGCGTATCACACATGCCACCATAGGAGTATATTGTCGGTTCGTCCAATAGGGGAGCCAGCGTCCCGGAAAAGGCGATTGTTCCCCCTAGAAAATACGGTCCTCTTGACGATGTGCTCTTTTGCGACTTGCCCAACATTGTCGCGTGCTTCTCCCAGGCCGCGTCGCCGTTACCCCCGGCGGCCGCTCCCTCCCCATATGTCCACACGGTTCCTGGCCCTTGGTCGCATTCTCCTGCATATACCAGCACAGCGCCCTCTTCTGTTCTTACTGCGCCAAATGCCGTGTTCTTCGAATTGTCTCCGCCTACAAAGGGCAGGCTCGTCGTGACGGGGTTCAGCTTGGTGTCCGTTCCAACCGTGCTCGAGATGTTCAGCGACAGGAACTGCACGTTGTCGTCGCTGTCCTGAGTAAAGATGTAAGCGATGTCTGGGGCATGGCACGCGCTCTGGTTGAAGCACGCATCAGGCGTGAGAATCTGGGTGGGAACATAGGGGAAGCTATGCGCGGCGGCCACCAATGGAGCTCCCAAGAGCAGAGCTGCAGACCAGATGAAGCGACTCGATCGCGCCAGGCCTGGTGTTGCGCGATGCGGCTGCGCGCGTCCGCGAGCAAACGGCGCTGGTGGTACGGCCATTGATTGGGTTCGCACTGAGATCTCTCACTCCCGTCTCCCTGATTGAATTTTTTTTTCCTAGTGTTTCCCTGGGATCGTTTGCCTTGTTCGCTTGTCGATCATATCATCGTGGCATGTCGATCCCTCGCAGCCTTGTCCTTGTCGCTATCGTGGGTGTCGTTTGCCGTCCGCTATTTTCTGCTCTTCTCGAGGTCGTCCGCGCCAGTCGTCGGTTTGGAATCGCATCCACCGCGTCTGCCGAGTAAATAGTGGTGCTGCAGCAGCTCCCCCACAGACGATCGAGGAACGTGCAGTAGCAGTAGGCGAAGCTGGAGTCGAGGGTCCGATCCGAGAGCCTCAATCTCTCAGGGTCTCACAATGCGAGTTGAGATGGGAAGCTTGTAAGAGATGAAGCAAAAAATAAAAGTGAAAAAGAATAAAAATTCACCAAATATTAGGTCAGCTACTTCTGCTCCAGCTCGACTCAACCAACAACAAAGCTGAAGCTGTTTCTGTCACGGCCGCGAGAGTTGGCCAAAGGCTTGCAAAGATGCAGGGACCCTTTTGGCGCTGGCAATAGCACAGAGCTTGGAAGGGCAAAAAGACACGCGCAAAGCGGTGGGCTGCACCCCGGCTTTAGCGGTGGCCCGTTAACCGCAACAGCAACAGCAGCAGCAGCAGCAGCAGTACGACTATGTAACGGTAGGTCCTGCCCTACTGTACCTAGGTGGTAGCAACAGAAGGAAGGCGCAGCACGCGGGTTGCTTGACAGACTGGGATTGTCAACAAGGGGGGCAGGAGCCAGTCAACCAGTCCGGCGAATACAGGCGAGGGAAAGAGCTAACATGTGCACCTGCAGGCGGCAGACGACCGTTGCTTCCGTGGGTCGAGCTGCACGAAGCGAGGCCTAGCCTTAGCCGCTGACCATTAAAAGCTGCTAGCAGGTGCTGGAGCCGCTGCAACGTCGATTTAATTTAACAAGATTGCTACGTACGCTTTTCAAGACACTCTCATCTATCACACTTTTAAGCTGCCGCTGTCATAAGAAAAAGTATAAAAACATGGATATAATCATTCATTATAGGTACTCATACAAGCATTATTGTATTCATATTCAGTTTATAAACATCATCATCCATCTCATCTGACACCCATCAACTCGCCCGTCAATTCTCATCATCCTCACATCCCCCCACACAAACTCCATTTGTTGTCCTTGTCCTACCGCCGTTGCCGGGAGCAACCAAAGCTTGGCCTTTTTTCTTTTTCCCACCACGGCTTAGCGGGGCACGGCGTTATTATGCTAGCGCCCCAGATTGGGGATCACCATCCATCAGCGAGATTTTCTTGTCTACTGCTATACGTGCGATCGTGCTATCAATAGAATTCATTCTATACTCAAACACCTAAAAATACACTCATGAATATCCATCAACAAAGAAACAAAACTGCTGCCTTGATTCTACTGTAATACGCAGCCACTCTCTCACTCTCGCCATCAGCATTGCCTGTTATCAAGTCCAACTGCTCCTTTGGGCAAATCGCGGCCCTGCCTCCTATCAGCACATGTGATGCAACGAGGGGCTGGGGGCATTAATAGTACTCCATAACTCCCGTATGCCACACCGAAACAGCCTGAGCGGCAGCCAATCGAAACCGCTGCTGTCAAACAAAAGATGGCTGGGAGAATGGCGTGCAGATGATGTGCAGTTGCAGCCCGACCCGATGTCATTGGACGTTCTCTCTCTAGTATCTCGATATGACGCTCTCGACGAGACATCTGTTTACTCTGTCCTCTCTCTGATATTCTATACTACTCGTACTATGACTGTAATCAGCTGCTCGTGCTGACGCGCATCTTCTTCTCCGTCTCTCCCCACCCGGGAAATGACGAGAGCCTAGAACCGCCGGGCCACCGTTGGACTAGCAGGGAACACGCGGCAGAGCAAAACCTGAATCTCTTCCAGTTGTCTTGTCCTTGTCTGTGCTTTGTATCGGCTCAAAGTCAGACAACATCAATGCGTCAACTGAGACATGCGTCGTCCTTGTTCACAATTACTATTTCTATTCGGCATTACGAATTCAAGCAAAAAGAAGGGTGCACATGGCCTGCGTGTCCTGGCCAGTTACGTGTAATAGGTACAACAAACTAACTGCCCTCGTCTAACATGAATCTTGTGCTCCTCTCTCGTCCATGCGCTCTCCAGATGATATCATGCTCAGTCCTATCCATACGACCGTAAATAGAATATCATTGTCTCTCCCTTCGTCTTAATTAAACCGTCAAAATTCAAGAGTAATAAAAAAAAGCCAGACGCACTGCAGGCAGAATAAAAAAATAACTGCAGGGGGTATCGAGTATCAAGTCGCCTAATAGTAAATCTTTTCTTCCCAGATGGGCGGTCGAGCACCTTCGGAATCCCACGTAACATGGTTCTTCTCGTCGAGCGTTGCGCCTTCATCCGTGATGGGGATTATCTTGCTTGAAGCAGCAACCTCCTGCTTGGACAAGCCCGCAGGGTCCGAGGGGATCCAAAGGATGGGAGTCCTGCTTGAGACGGATGGTGGCAAGAATGCTTCGGCCTCGATTTCATCGGCGTACCGCATCGGCTCCGCCAAGTGCTCTTCTTTGAGGAACAGTCCGCGCAATGTGGCGTAATCCGCATATACCCAAGGCTTGAGGAATTTGAGAATAAAGTTACCCTGCTTTCCAGATGCGTCTATGGGAAATCTCTTAGTCTCCTGGGCCTTGTCGGTAGCGGCATCGTGAGAGACATTGTTGGAGGCCAGGCCTTCCTCAATGCTAGTACCAGTTGCATTGCCGGCGGCGCGCAGCTGGACAAGTTCCTCCTCTGCCTGGAGACTCCGTGGCAAGCCGAAGAGAAGTGGATCAAGGGTTCGCGACAGGGTGAGGTGGTACAGAATGGTGAAGCCGAGGAAGATGCCCATAAGGACTGCAGGTCCGGCAGCTTTGGAAACGGCAAAGAGACCAACCATGCAGATTTCGGCCAGGTAGATACCGGCAAACAGCTGCTTCAGTGCGCGAGGGTAGATCAAGCCATGCGTGTCGATTTGAGTTTCCGTGACGAACAGGATATTGTATCGGTAGGCAAGATAGAACAAGCCCATACCAATAGATGACCAGAACAGGATTAAAGGGGCAATGACCGAATACGTGATGCCTATGACAAGTTAGCAGGTGCGTTTAATATATATATATATATATATCAAAGGAATTTAATAACAGAAACATACTAATGACAGCAATGTTGGTATATACTGGGAGAACGCTACCCCAAGAAATGGCGCTGAGGCTGGTCCACTTCTTGTACATGGCTCGAGGTGTCTTGGCCAAAAACTTGTACAGCAGCGTAAAAATGAAGAAGCCGACAACTTGCGTAACGACACTAGTCGCAATGGTAAGACCCTGGACGATGAAGTAGGAAATGTAGAAATTAGATGCCGTAGGCAGGGACTCGGAAAGAATGTTGAAGACTTGTTCCGGCTGCTGGGCGATTTGAACAAGGGCCGTTGAAGCTGCGTTGGTCAGGGTCTGGATCAAAAACACCTGAATGAGCTGGAAGAAAAAGTACGAGTTCTGGGTGAACAGCTCGACGCGAGACTGAGTAACTTCGCCGGCCTGTTTGGCACAGAGACGCATGATGACGGGGACCAGGGACATGAGGATGGAGAGAGCCACTGCCGGGAGCAACCCGGAAATCACTCCAAGAATGGGCTTGGGGATATCACCAATCCAAGTCAAGCCGGGGATGTTCTTCAGCGTGTTCACCTGGGCAATCACACCAACGATACCGACGGGGATGGCCCAGAAGATGATGAGAGCTGCAATAAAGGCATAGACGACGTAGCGGCGGATGATAACCTGCCACCAGGGGAAGGACAAGCTCTTCCAAACCACCTCAGCAGGCTGGATGCCAATGGCCTTGGGCTCCATGTGCAGGGCCTGGTGGTGAGTGACGGATTGGAATGCGTATTGAGCGTCGCCTTGAGTTTCAAATTCGACAAAGACAGCGCGGACTTTCTCGTTGTTGCCGGCTCTCCAGTCGGCCTGGGCCTTTTCGACCTCGGGAATCAGACGCTGCAACTCAGTGCGGCTCCAGAGGATGGTGTCGACTTTTTTTCCAATAAGACCAAGGAAGCCAAGACGATGATGCGGGCGGTCCTTGTCCTGAATCCAGCGTGAAGCAATGTCGCCTGTCTCAATATCTCCATCTTCGGTAGTGGCAGGGCCCTCGGGTTGAGTTTCTCCCTTCTTCGTGGCCTTGATGCGAGCCTTGTTGACCTTTGTCAGGAGGCCGATTTCGCCCTTTTCAAGCTTCATGGCGGCATCGTCGCGCTTCTCCACCAGCTCGTCGAGCTCATCCGTCTTGCCGCAGACCCAGACCCTCCTGACGTTGTTGAACATGCTACGAATACGCTCCTCGGTGTTGTATTCCTCTGGAACGGAAGTGAAGAGCACGGTGCGGGCAGAGATTCGTTTGGCATTGTGGGGGTTGATGTGGTGAGCCTGGCGGAGATTAATGTAGAAGATGCACTCGCGCGTAATCATGTACATGAGAAAGCCATAGACTGCCCAGCCAACAAAGGTGTGGGCGTAGAGGTAGTTCTTGTGCGTCTCAATGTCGACATTGCTGTACGACAGGATCTCGAGCTGGGAGAGACCCTTGCCTCCGGTGGCATTGACGGGGAACAGGATGGGCCAGGTAATAAGAAGGCTGACGAAACAAACGACGAAGCAGATGCGCAGATATCGAAGGAAGAGATAGGCGTCGAGGCTCTGGTGGGTTAGAACGTAGGCATCGGGGATCTTCCAAAAGGCCGAAATCCAGGTCAGCAGATTGCTGGGTACGCTTGGTGTTCGCTCACTATATTGCGTCAGTTTATCTCCATGTCTGTCGCCTGTTTACTTTCCACTTGACATGGAGAGATGCATCACTCACTCTTCGCGCAAAGAGCCTAGATATGTACGCGGCGCATAGTAGCGCCGCTGGGATCTTCTCAGGAATAAGAAGATGACAATATAGACACACGACACTACCAATACAGGAATGAGAGTATCGAGCATGCCTATCATCAAACGCAAGCTCAGTCAGCCCTATATCGGCAGCATATTTTCATCCAGTGAAGCTCGAACTCACCCCATGCTGACTCTGGCTGCGATTCCCGCGCTGATCCCTGGTTGGAGTCGGGAGCCAGGTTCTTGTTGAGCCAACTGATAAAGTTGCCCATCTTGACGACGTCGTGCTCGCAGCCGTTGCCGCGCGCGTCAAACGGTGCTCGATGCTGTTATGAAAGATGCTCGAGGTGCCTCGTCGTCGTGACTTGGTGTAAAGATTAAAATGTGCGAATCGAAGTGAATGCGGAATGCCGTGTGCAAAGCGCCAGCTCCAGCTCCAAGTAGCTTCAAGGGGGTGGTGGGCAAAGCAGGGATTTGTGAGATTTGACAGAGATGTGCCAAGTGGAGAGAGAATCAGGGAAAGACAAGCGTCTAATAACACCAACCGAAAGGCACGAGTACAAAAGTACTGATTGATCAACAATCGATCTGTCGATGGCGACACAGACGGGACAGGGAAGGCGAGTTCCGAGGGCCTCAGCGGCAGTGGGTGCCGAAGCGATGGATAAACGCGTATTCCGCTTGTAAAAGAAAAAGGCACGAGGCTGTGCTCCCCTTAACTAGTCGTATATCCTTTCTCTTCCTGTGCCTAGCTTTTTTGCTTTCTTGTCCCTCTCCTCTGTGCTTCTCTTTTTTTCTTTCTCTCCCTCGCGGACTGGACCTGATGAGTTGGCCGTGCCACTAATAAGTCACTGTCTCAGCCAGACAAGGACCCGGCTGCGGCGCCAACTTGCCGATCTAGCCTATGTGGGCCGATAAAAGGCTGTCTTGTCTGCTTGAGAGGGAAAAAGAAAGGGAGGGATCGGATCCAAAATCTTGCGTGTGTCCAGCTGCGATTGGAGCTTGTGCGTATGTGGCTTGGGCGGTAAACGAGCGGATGGCCGTAACCAGACGACCGATAGCGAGTGAGCGAGTGATGGGAGAGAGTGGGAGAAAGAGGGACGAAGCAGAGACACGGACTGGAGGACAAGGCCGGCAAGCTGAGACCCTTTGCCGCTTCGCCATATGCAATTATTCGCATGCGCCTCCTCCCGTCCAGTCCAGACCCAGCCAGAAACCCCCAATGCTGGTCCTCCCCAAGACCCGGCAATTTTTTGAAATTTTCTCTCTCGTCATTCTCCTGTGCACGCACGGCAGCCGAGTTTCAACACATCCAATCTCATTTCCCAGGATGGGGGGTCACCGTTCGATAACTCAACGGGGTCGTGGCTTGTGGGTTCAGCCCCCCCTGTCCGGCTGCCCTTTAGCTTGCCTTGATATTGAACTTGGCTTGCAGGCGATCCCTGCTCAGCTGTGCTTTTAGTGGGCCGAGGGGAGACGGCAGAAGCGTGGGCGTCACACGCAGACGAGCAACTTTTCAATTTCAATCTCGTCATACCCTTGGGGCTGCCAGAACCCGGTTTTGGAGGCCCACGCTGGTCGATCCTGAGGGTGCGTCTAGACCAGACCAGACTGCATGTAGGTATGATGATGCTGTCCACGTACGAGTTGATGAATAATGACTACATCTGGTTTATCTTGGCCCTCGGAGTTGATTAGTTGGCGAGTCTTGGCGGGTGGAATAAGCTTTGAGAGTGGTGGTTTAGTTTCGGCTCGTTGCGAATTCGCCGTGGCGTCAGTTTCCATTCAAAATGCTCCACGAGCACCGGTAATAAAAGACAAAATCTTCATAGATGGCGTCAAGCAAAGCCGGATGCCCCACGAGGACCTGACCGACGACGACTACAAAAACTTCTCACCACTAGTACTCACTACTAGGTACTCGTTGATGTATGCCAAGTACTCTGCCATGCTCGTACAATCCGGAGACTTGCATCTCACCTATTTCACATCAGCTCCGGATCATGTTAGTCTCGAGTACGGCCGAATGCGTTCGCCTAGCCAAAGGTTGCAGCCGCAGGTTTGCGATAATCCACCAACTGTCTCGCGCAAAATATGCTGCTGGACGCATTGAGTTTGGATGTAGGCACCGTTGGATGCCAGCAGTTGGTTCCTATTATCCGGATGAGATTCTGATCACGGTCAGCGCCATCCCTTTTTCCTCAATGGCATTTCACATGTTGTTAGTTTGTTGTTGTTGTTGTTTTGTTTGTCGGCAATCGCATCGCTGCTGTACACGTATCCGATTCATGCCGATCTACTGACCCCAGACCCCCGACTCAAGATCGAGTTTTCTGATGAGCTTGTTTCTTACTCCGTACGGTGTGTGGTGCCACACCAACACACCAACCCTTCTCTGCGTCATCAGCTTCTCATGGTTCGATGACATGCACAAGATCAAGTGACCCTGTGTCGGACAATTGTCGGCTCCTTGGACAGCTCTCCTTGACGCGTACCTGGACTATTTCCAGCTGAAAAATAAGATTCTAGGCCTAGAGTCTAAGCATCAAGGATGACGCGCATACACATGAATGACACCCAAGATAAGAATGCACCAATGACAAGCTCTTCATGGGTCTAATCATTTGGGCTCATTCTTGACAGAAATCTATTATAGCGAGTGTCGTTTAAGGTGCAGTGTGGTTCGGCCCATTAATAGGCTTTGCCCTATTTATTGAATAGATGTCTGAAGAGCATGTGCATTTTTGCTCATCTGGCTTATAGTGGTTTTCAGCCTACTTGGAAGCGAAGTTCTGTCATTTGACCACATAACAACTTAAGTCGATGAGATCGGTGTTGTTGTATCCAAACCCATGATACTCAGTACATTCACAATTGGTAATCATTTTTGCTGAAATAGAAGCCTCAACAGTCTTCTGGGGTTGACCCTTTTTGTTTTCAACAAGTATGGCTGCCTGATGAGCATGTGAATTGTGCTCAGCCGCCCTGAGTAGCCCTTAGGAAAGCCTCACAACCACTGCATCTATCATTGGCTATACGAACATTTCTCATTTTCAATTGGTTGTTTTTTCACCAATCTTTGAGGCTTCATTGCAAACAAACTTTTACTTGTACATATAAACAGACGTACTGGATAGGCTGGAAACGCCTTTCTTGTGTTACACTGCATTTCGACCCTGGGCATTGTTCATACCCAACATCCTACAAGGCTTTCCTGAGGGGGCTGAGTACTTATCTCATTTTTCTTAAGTGTTCTGCTCAACCAGATGATTTTACTATTGATTCCTGATCCCTCAATTATGGAACCATTTTATTCTGCATCACAGTGCTTTCTACTTAGCTGTGAACAATGCCAAAGCGAAGCAATGAGGCCGATGATGAGCATGCATCCCCTGATGTAAAGAAGACCAAGCTTGGCAGTCCATCAGACGCTGTCAATCTTAGCCATATCGATTATACAATTGGATGGATTTGCGCATTGTCAAAGGAGCAAACCGCGGCGATCGCCATGCTAGATCGAAAGCACCCAGATCTTCCATCTCTCGCCAATGATGACAACGCCTACACCTTTGGATCAATTGGTGGTCATAACATTGTCATAGCCTGTTTACCGAAGGGGAGGTATGGGACCAATTCTGCGGCGACGATTGCAACGAAGATGCTCAGCTCCTTTCCATCCATTAAATTCGGGCTATTGGTTGGGATTGGAGGTGGTATCCCGTCCAAGGTTCGACTTGGGGATGTCGTGGTTAGCATACCAATTGATCAGTATCCAGGAGTTGTTCAATGGGACCTGGGTAAAGCGGAAGACGGCGGAAGATTTAAACGAACTGGAGCGTTGACAAGCCCGCCAAATGCACTCCTCAAAGTTTTATCCAAGCTGGAGTCTGAGCATGAGATGCAAGAGTCCAAGATCCCCACCTTCTTGGATGAAATGAAACAGAAATACCCAAAATTATACCCAAAATACTTTTGGAATCAGTCGCTTAGAGATCCTCAAGATCAAAGTGGCGAAGGAACGGCGATGAGATGCCCAGACATTCACCATGGCTTAATCGCATCTGGTAACCAAGTCATCAAAGATGCTGCAGTCCGCGACTGTCTCAACGAGGATCTTGACGGGAATGTACTGTGTATTGAAATGGAGGCAGCGGGTTTGATGAACGATTTTCCGTGCCTCGTTGTCCGGGGCATCTGTGATTATGCAGACTCGGGGAAGAACAAGGACTGGCAGGAGTATGCTGCTGCCGTAGCGGCAGCTTATGCGAAAGAAATCCTTTCCGTGTTGCAAATTTGGGCTGTGGAGCACATGGAGTCAGTCAAAGGTGCATAATTCTATCTGTTCTCAACAACTCTAGCCGTCTTATTTGTACACCATGTACGGCCGTTTATATTGACCAATCGCTAACTGGGTCTTGGGTAGACATCTTGTCGAATATTAGTGCGGAACTTGGAAGCATACAGACAGCTGTTGGTGGAATGGCAACTCGACAGTACGCTCAAGCCCACCAAGCCTTTTTAAATTGGTTAACACCAGTCGATTATACACTGCAGCAAAAAGATTACTTCAGCAAGCGGCAACCTGGAACAGGTCAATGGCTTCTCACATCCAACATATTCCAAGATTGGGTTGATAATAGCCAGCAAATGTTGTTCTGCCCCGGGATTCCAGGAGCTGGAAAAACGATCCTTACATCCATGGTGATTAATGACCTTTTTGAACGGTTCAACAAAGATACTACGGTGGGGATTGCATACCTATACTGCAATTTCCGACGACACGATGAGCAGCAGCTACATGATTTATTATTAAGCCTACTAAAGCAATTAGCCTACGGCCAGAGCTATTTGCCGCAAAATGCAAAGACAATCTTTGATACATACAAAGGCAGAACTCAGCGCCCATCGCTGGATGATACAAAAGAGCTTCTTAAATGCATGGCAGATTCATATCTGAGAGTATATATCCTTGTTGATGCTCTCGATGAATGCCAAGGGTCAGATGGATGCCGTGCAAATCTTCTAGCAAACATGTTCTTTCTTCGGGATGAGTCAAAGGTGAACATTTTTGCGACTTCAAGACTAATCCCGGAAATTATGGAAAAGTTTGAGGCTTGCAAACGCATGGAAATTCGCGCGAGTGAGAATGATGTGCGAAGATACGTGCATGGCCAACTAGACGGAGGTAACATGGAGCACCTACCGTCTCTAATCAAACACAAGCCAGACCTGAAAGATGAGATCATAAAAGGCATATCAGATGCCGTTGATGGAATGTATGTGATTATATATATCGTTTTTTTTTTTGGAAGTAACTGACAATGTTTTAGGTTTCTATTGGCCAAAATCCATCTCGACACACTCGTTGATAAAATCACAATCGCCGATGTTAGAGAGGCAGTGATGCAGTTGCCTAAGCAAGTGTCAGGATCTGGAGAAGACAAAAGATTGGAAATACTGAATCAAGCATACGAATCCGCCTGGGAAAGGATAAATGGACAAAAAGAGGGATTTCGGAATATTGCCACGCGCGTTCTAGCGTGGATCTCCTTTGCAAAGCGACCATTATCTACGAAGGAACTTCAGCATGCTCTCGCAGTTAAAATCGGCATAGATGAGCTCGACGAAGATGCTATCCCACAAGTTCAAGATATGGTGTCATTCTGTGCCGGTTTAGTTACGGTTGATGAACAGAGCGATGTCATTAGACTGGCACACTACACAACGCAAGAATTCTTCGACAGGAACAAGAGCGATTGGTTTCCTAATGCTGAGGCTATGATTGCAGAAACGTGCATATCTTATCTTTCGTTGAAAGTCTTTGGAGAATACCGCCTAGACGAATCTAATCTGGGCGAATCTGATCTAGAGTACCTGTGTTTCTGTGGACTTTATAATTATGCCAGTTATCACTGGGGTGACCACACACGCCTTGCTGGGACAAAACTGGATGATAGCGTCACTAGATTTCTCATGAGAGGGGCTGGGGTCTCTAGTGCCTTCCATGTGGTGCTACATCGCCTTCCGTTGAGTAGCGAGATCATCGACAAATTCCCCTACTACAATCGCAAACCCTTTTCGCCAGTGTCAGGTCTGCATCTTGCTGTGCAATTCGAGCTCTATGAAGCAATCAGCATGTTGCTCAAGAATGGGTGTGACATAAATGGGCGCCATGGGTTGGAAGCGACACCGCTGTTAATGGCTATCAATAATGGATACATGGGTATTGCCGAGATGCTACTTGATAATGGAGCTCATATGGGTGCTGGGTCAGGCCAGAGCATATTATATGTGGCTGTTGCTATGGGACCGATAAACTACAGCGAAAGATTTGTTCAAAAGCTTATTGCAAAAGGCATCGACGATGGAGAGGACTTTTCGTTATACTCGCCATTCGCAGCTGAATTAGGCCGCGAGGCCATTGTGAAGTTATTACTGGACGAGGGTGCCAACATCAATGCAGTAGACGACACTCTTCGGACGCCATTGCACATGGCAATTATGTATGATGAAGAAGCAATTATGAAGTTGCTTGTTGACCAGGGTGCCGATATTGAGGCAGCAGATACCACTGGTCAAACGCCACTGCACTTTGCAGTTCGGTATCACCGTGATGCAGCTGTGAAGTTATTGCTTGATGAGGGTGCCGACGTTAATGCAACAGACGAGTACCTTGATACACCATTACATACGGCGGCTATAAGTGGTAATGGGGCAATTATGAAGCTTCTTCTTGAGAAGGGTGCCGATATTGAGGCAGAAGACATCATTGGTCAAACGCCGCTGCACTTTGCAGTTCGGTATTACGATGATGCAGCTGTTACAGTATTGATTGACGAGGGTGCCAATATTGATGCAACAGATTATCGTGGTCGGACGCCACTAGATGTTGCCAAAAAGAGATGACTCGAAAAGGATCCAAGAAATATGGCCAATATTACCTGGTAGTACGAAAGATACATAATGTGGGCTGCACGGCACGTTCATATGTGTTGATGCCTACATGTAACAAAAGAGGTCGAATGAAAAAGAAGAAGAAGAAAAACGAAGAAGAAAAAACGAAGAAAACAAAAACAAAATGAAAAAGAAAAAGAAATAGAAAACAAGGCCATCTCTCTCTCTTGGAAGTATCTCAGTAATTGTATGAATTACCTGCATAATGACTGCCTGTAGCCAATTCAACTAGATTTTTCATCAAATCTATACCTGCTAGAGTCCCGGGTTTGCTGTAATAGTTCTCTCCTCGTAAGCTTGACGCTGATTTAATGGCTTTTCGCGGTAACCATTAACGGAGCAGTGAACCATATTGAATTACATAAAGCTCCGTATTTTTGCACGCATGGAATAAGGGAAGGGGATGCTAGAGAAAGATAGAACTGATATGGGCTCAATCCCGGGGCTTTGTTTACCCTTATCACTAAGGTATCTACGCAGGTGCTTATATTTTGAGGGTTTCCGTTGCTCTTTGTTTAATCAAGGCTTCGCAGCGGATCCTAAGCTGCCTTCTCTGATGTACCAGCCGATCGCGAGGTGGCGCCTGGACCTACAAGGAGAAGAGCAATTGGAGCCACAATGATATAAAGAAATTTGTTAATCTCAGGGCGGATCGACAGTGACCACGAGAGTAACGACGGGTCCGCTTTAGATGAGTAGGTATATGCAATCGATTGTATCCTTGCGAAATGGAAGAACCGACGGGGAATTCTGTATTTTGTGCAATGGAGTGAGCGAGGAACCACCTGGCTGCCGGCCGAAGATGTATTGGACGACAAAATGATCGCACGGCTTCAACCACAGGCCGAAGTCACCCAAATTATGTAAAATTCCCGTCAGATCGGTCGAAATATAATTGTTATGCGTTTTAGCAACATGAAGCTAAGCCTTTCCTTTTGCAGAAATCCAATGATAAGCTACCCAAATTATGTAAAAGTCCCGTTGGATCAGTCTGAAAATAATTAATCCTTGTTTAATTAATTGTTCTATCTTCCAAAAAGAATACTTAGGGATTAATAATCGACACTATAGGCATTGGATGCCGGAGTTGTGCTTAGATAGCCTAGTTACTGTGTAAGTAAAGCTTATCAACATCACGACGAGTATATATAGCAACAAGATCTTCTAGCTAATTCAATACATCTATCATTAACAATACATACATCTTGCATATACTCCAGCAGAATTCATTCTTTCTACGACTTGAAAATGCGATTCTCAGCCACCTCTATCATTCTTGGTGCCGCCGCTATAGCCGGTCAGTTGCGGCAAGTCTCTGCTTCTCCCACTGAAAACTGGGGCATTATGTGCACGGATGTAAATCTCGGGGGAACTTGCAGCGGGTTCAAGTCTCCTTCCAACGACTGTAGTAAGTTGTTGAAACTAAAGCCTGTTTATTGCAGATGTTGTACTAATAGCAAGATAAATAGTAAGCTTAAGCGGGAAAAACGCCTTCTGGAACGACGTAATTAGTTCAATACAGATATGGGCCCCGAAATTTCAATGTGAATTTTACACGTAAGCAAACACAATGTATTTTCAATCTAATAACGACTCAGTAACTAACCGCCGTTTATACATTATATAGCGATTTTAACTGTAAAGGCTCAATGCAGCCGTTTAACGGCAACGTTTATACGTATAATACTGTTTATTATAATGACCAGTTTAGCTCATTCTTTTGCTATTAAATATTTGTCATGACCCAGCCTTTATGGTAATCCCCGGATGCTCCGACCCATTGGAATGGAGTCGAGATCTATCGACTCAACCGAGCTCGATTATGACAAGTACAGTTGGTTCAACTTCACTTGGCTCGATCCAGATTAACTGGATAAATAAGTTTACATTCTATACACTCTTTAGCTACTAGGTAGTTGAGATAGCTTAGGTAGTTATTAACATAGCAACCAGATTGGAGTTTGTTTACCAATTTGTTAGCTACGTGATACTCGCACCGCCCGTAACTCGCCCGACCCAGGGAAATAGGATCAATAGCAATACGGTAGAAATGATTATCGGACGCCACTTGGAAATGAGCGAGGAAATGAGCGAGTAGAATGTTGGAGTAGGGGCAAGGCACATGCATTTAGCATAGAAGAATGAGGTCGAATGAAATAAAGAAAGTTAGCCCCGTATCTCTCTTCAAATACTTCAGAAGTTGGATCAACTATTTGTGAAAAAAACCAAGCGCAATTTCTTTCAGCTAATTCAAACAAACTTTTCATAACACCTATTCATGCCAAGCCCCAAGTTCGTCTCATTACCCGTCTCCTCGTACAAGGCCAGCCCATGATGGCTTGCAAATACCACTATTGCTTTCCACGTGCTTAAAAAAGGGTTAGCATGGAGGAAGGGATAAGATTCGAGTTTGGCGAACTTGCTCGCCGCAGGAACCAAAGTATCGACCAGAACGGAAACTGTGATGTTCATTAATATATGTTCATGCTTTGGGGACTTTAAGTCTCACCTCCAGTGAAGATTTCCAAGGCCCACGTTACGGCAAGCTTCCAGGTATTTCTGCACCTCTCTGTCAATCTCTTCTCCCCAAGCGGGTAGCTGATCCAGAGCGCTTTGCCAATCTTTGTAACAATCATCAAGCATTTTGCCTATGCTGTTCATAGCTTCTTGATCTGAGAGATTATGTGCCTTGAGTATTGTGATCAAGTTATTTCCCGCGTCGTTTAATTCCTGTGCAAAGGTTAGAATGCTTTGAGCGGCTGAAGAAAATTGGTTGTGACAGAGACATACAACTTCTTTTTTGTATGACAAAATATCGTTTGAACTATGATTTAAGGTAGTTAGCTTGATATGTAAATTCGATGTAATGTGATACGACTTACAGAATCACAAGATCCACGATAGTGCTGGTGCACAGTTGAAGAGACGGATGATCCATTTGTGTTTGAGAGAGCTTTATGTCTCCAGCGTACCTGAAGTTCAGACATGTTAGAAGTTTGTATAGGGAATGAGACAGGAAATCGTACTCTACCAGCCGTATAGCCAGAACCACTCCAATCGTTCTTCTTCGGTAGCTCATATACTGGTCTACAGTCAAGGCGGGAGCAGAGCTAGATTTTGAGAGTTTTGATTGGTAGAGAAGACCCTCGAGGTATTTCTTATGAGAGTCCTTCCAGCGTTCTTGTACTTCTAGAAGCGGGTTAGGGACTTTTTCTTCATGACTTTGGTTGTTTGAGTTTTACCTGGCGCATTGCTCTGATGAAATCCTGTTAGCCGATATCTTCCTTGAACGGACTAGAGAATGCTTACATTTTTTATTCGATCCCAGATGGCCTGAAACACATACTGAAGAGGCTTGTTGGTTTGGACACGAGGGCCCTTGTCGTTTAGAATTCCAAGAATGCAGTCAACTTCTTCTTGGGCCTTGACTGGATCGTTTGCCAGAGGTCCTTCATCAAACTCTGTGGGGTGAATATAAGCTATCCGTTATGTCATTGTGATGTTGACGAAACTTACGATCGTCAAAATAAAATATCTAAATCTTTCATGAGATGACTTGCGATTAGACGTAGCATAAGAGAAAGTGCTTACCCAATTTGCCCAGTCAACCGCTGTGCGAAACCTGTCTTTTTCAGCCGAAGGGGCCCAAACGGCGGCCGCGAATCCAAAGTCGGTCTTGTTGAACTTCAATTCCTCTTTGCCTTTTAATTGTAGCAATCTATCCCCAGTTAGTCAAGTTATGCACAAAGCATACAAAGTAAAATAAAAGATCGTACTCTTTGAACCACTCATCTGCTTCAGCTTTGCCATCTTGATAATGAGGGTTAATGGCTGGCTCTGTAGCCATGATTGAGGAAAATAAATCTGGAATCAGGACATTCCGTGGAGAATCTGGTATCCTTGGGGACTGGAAATCGGCTGTAGAGGCATTCAACAGTAAGGTAGGCTCTAGCACTGTCGCAGTTGTAGACATCTTGATACAGTAGTCAACTAATTTGGTTTGAAGTGTGACTTATATAGGAAGCTTGTATCTACAGTCTGAGAAGACTAGTAATAAGGAAAGTCTGGCTACAGTTCATTCTGAGCAAAGATATAAAAGCATTCAATGTTTATATGTTAAAATTCCCGTTGACCAAGCCAGGGGAAGCGGGAATATTGTGCCGTTCTCTTGGTCGAGGCCCTGAAATATGCCGCCATCAATCTATTTACCGAGTACAAAGCGGATCTATCTGCAGGTACGCTGTCACTTGTCTTGAGCATGTAATGTCGATCTTTACGAATAATAATAGGATCGACATCCAACCCCTTGGCAAACACCCGGTTGTCGGAGCCTCGTTTAGCAACATGCGGGTTAGACTTTTTGCGCTGTAAAATATATCTACTAGGGTGTCGGGTAAGGTCTCGTTAGTTATGATAGGAGATGATTGCTTCTTTCGGCAGATAACTCGTATGCCTTCTGGGCGACTGGGGCCTTCTGCCGATCTTTTCACTATATATTATATCTAATGCTACTCAAAAGGTCACTACATAGCCAGCTAAGTTACTGTATTGATAACTTCCATCCACATTGGTGCCACCTCAGGTAAATGTATCACGTCACGTAAATGTAGCATAGTTAAAGAGTATGGGTAGAATGCACTGCCGTGTAGCGGTATATTGTCCACCAAGTCGGATCGCAGCCGAGACGCACAGACTTCGAGATCAACATAGAACGAACAATTTACAACGGTTCTGAACAGGTGGTAGGTGTCTTAGCGATACGGGTACACGGGACAAAATTTCAGGAGGACCCTGCGTTTCTTATAGACAACTGACATATGATATTGGGAATACGGAGCCAAAAACAGGCCTTGGTTTCGTTCGCAAGACCCTGGGATGATTTGACGATGATTTAGTAATGATTGCTTCGTTACTATTCCGAATGAGACGGTTTGGCACAATTTAAAGGATCCTGTAGCCTACATTACGCGATGTCCCCTTTTCTCTATTTCATGTCGCATTGTAAAACTTCTCAATTACCGGATACCTGACAGGCATATTGAGGCAACACCGTCGCGTACTTCTCCGGCAATTGATATTGCAGTCAGAATGTTGTATAGCATACGGAGTAGATAACACGTCCAGTAACTTGGCCGCCGTATTTGCCGGATACAAGGCGATTAACAAGGTTTGTCGGCATTTGTCCTCCTATCTCTCCGCTAATGTGACAACCCGAAATGTCAAAACTAACCCCCCTGTCTACTGCACATACTCGGCGAGCAAACTCCGTAGTAACTAGTGGATTTGCCCTTGATTGCCTGGCTGCTTTTGTAGTGTTTAGGTGGACCAAGGCGCCGATCGACTTCCTTTTGCAACCCCCCTGTCAGAATATGCCGCGCCAACATGGATTGATGGATGTCACAACAGCTTCCGACTTTCCCGAAGATGACATTGAAGGCATATGGTGGCAGATTATGGATATAAAAACAAGCATGATCTCTTTATTTTTTCTATTTACTTTTCAGAGCAGCCAAAGTAGACAATAATCATCGTTGATATATGTTTAGGTAAAACTATACTGCTATATACATAGTTTATGTTCTAGGATGATGCAAGAACTTTGAGAACCTCAATTCCTTTCGTCATTCCTTTTCATATGTACAATCAAGAGGTTTCAGCATGATTTACGGGGGAGCACCGACATAGACTGTCAGAACATTGGGAGCCCCTGAAGCCAAAGTGCCCGAAGCATTCTCATTACCATCTGGGTTGACATCATCATATGGGAAAGTGTAACCTCGACCATCAATCTCAAATTGGTGAACGAGGCGGCTGTAGTGGTTGGTAGGGTTGAGTGTGTAGTATGAAGACTGGCCCAGACCTGGCTGAACGTTGCCACCAGCGAGTAGCAAGGTAGATCGCACAAAGGCGGCACACAGACGAGGAACAACAGCCACATGGACGGCATTGTCGCCGCCCTGAATGGCAAATGGTCCGCTGTTGCAGCCCCAGATATCTCCTGCAGTCGGCTTAGCGTAGCCACGGTTGTCGCCATTGCAGTTGAGGGTGTTGCCAGAAACCTGGCAATTGACGCTACCAGCAGAGGTTTGCGTGTTGATGGTGAGAGGAGTGCTGGTGTAATGGCTCCAGACTTGGTCGACATAGGCACTCCAGTAGTTCTGAAAGGCTGCTGGATTGATGACACTGTAGTCGTTTGGAGACAGCGCACGAACAAGAGCTCCGGCATCATTGGTAATGCAGTTGGAGTACCAGGGAAAGCCGTCAGCGTTGGCTTGTTGGACCAAGCCCTGGCAAATTTGGGTGAGTGCGGAAGCTCCAAGACCTTTCGTAGTCTGGGTGGCGCTTCCATCAGTGGTACTCAAGCTCATACTAAGGATCATGCCGACAAAATCGACGTAGCTGATGTTTGCGTAGACAGCCAAGTCAGTAGTATAGGTGAGCTCAACAAAGCCCCAGAGGAGGCCAGAACTCGGGTCCTTCAGGTTGAACTGGGACGGTTGCACCAAGCCATCGCCGTTGGGAATCTTGACCATGAAGAACTGGAGATCGCCGACTGAAAAGTAGATGCGCGCGGAGCTGATGACAATGGGCACATTCACCGTGATGGAGTTGCCCTGAGAAGGCAGCGCAATGTTGATAGGGGTGCTGATCGGAACAGGGACGCCGGAGCCTCCAGAGCTGGGGTACACAAGACTACCATCACCCCTGACAAAAACGACTCTGTTGTCAGTGTCGAGGCCAGAAATATAGGCGTTGACCTGACCGCCGGAGAAGTTATTGACGAGTTGGATTGGCAGGTGTCCAGCCTGAGCCCGAGTCTGGATGAACTGTTTGGAGACTGTTGTTGAACTATGATAGGTTCCGTTGAGAGTGTTGTTTGCCGTAATCACGATATCGTCAACACCTCCAGGCTTGGCCACGGAAAAGGGTGATGCGGCTCTTGCAATGAGAGAAGGGGCTGCCGATACTGCACCTATGAGGGCAGTAAGGATAGTGAGTGTCCGCATGATGTAAAGACTTGGATGAATTCAGACTGGAAAGGAGTAATGATGATGGTGAAAAGGGATTGACGCCTTCCCTCTGAGTTCTGGAACCAATCCAATGGGTTGAGCTCTGATGAACATGTTTATCTGTGAACAACCCTCTATATATACTTGTATCTCAAGAGGCATTTTCAAGAATGTGAACTCGATCCTCACCATATCAAGGCAGACTTCGGACCGAAGCGTCGCGCGGTGGAGATAGAGACAACATACTGCCGACAGGTTTGTACCGACATGAAGATATCTCTTTACTGTTGTAGCATAGCATCGGGCTTCCTTCGGTGGCTTGGGATGGAAAGGTTCGGGGTTGAGAGTTGCTTCTTCTAGCTTCTTGGCTATTACGTCCTTGTTTGTAGTGTAGGATGCTTTCAGGAGCCAGGGTTATGCAGTAATTGCGGGTAATGGTTCAGGAACATTACTAAAATTCCAGTTTTTGGCCTGTACTTGATTCATCTAGTGGCAATATTGGCATAACGTAATGACAGGGTGGGCTAGAACCGCAACCGTAACATCTTCAGTAAATGCCAAGTGGTTGCAAGGAAAGAGTCGGATGAAGTTCTCAGTAACTTCTCAAAACTAGGGGAATACTAGTCTAATACGCAAGTCCGCTTTGTAATAGTCGTTTAGAGAACTTGGGATAACTGATAGTAAACGTAGTTTGGAGCACTTGATTAGTTTCCGCAACGCCCGCTCCTGATAGGCCTAGCCAGGATTGAAAATTTGGCTTGTGCCATAGAATCCCCCTGGATTTAGGATGAGGCTGTGAGTAGAGATATTACCCTTCTAGGCAACAAATAAGGTCACGTCCTCACACCATCGCGGAGTCTAGCGCTCCGAGATTCGGGCTAATAAAGCACAAGTTACTGCACCCCACACTTTTCTAAGATGCAATGCAGGTCATGACACACTGATCGTTGCAACGTGACAAGAGTGAGGAGGGCAGTTGTTCTTTTCTTCCAAGACGCCCGCCCGGGTAATGAACCGCTAGTAATCTTGCATCCTGCAGGGGATACCGAAAGAGATTCCTTGGTGAAGACGATCTGACGACATGTGACTGGTGATAAAGCTGCGGACATGGGATTGCCTCGGCAGGTTGAGGAATTACCAAATGTAGCTTTCCGCAGCGGCTCGTCTATAAGATATCGACCGGTACTGAAGCAAGCAGGGGTATATCCACTCTATCCTAGACACGGAATGCTCATCCAGGATGTGTTCCTAGCTGAGCATGTATCCTGTTTACAACTCTGCACTGACAATTCTTGTTTTGGCAACCATGTTTATGATATGGTTCGTGTGGCTTATACTGCAGAATTACTTATCTACTCTGGAACTCGCACGTTACATCCAGGCGTCATTGTATTTCCGAGCTTCCTTAACCTACATCTATCAATTTGATCCTGCCGTCTGCTCACTAAGTGGCGCACATTGTGGCTGAAGACGAAGAGGTGTTCGACCCCAGATCGAGCATGGGTTGCAGCACATGTGCGTCAGTAGTATATGTTACCCCTGAAATAGAGGTGCCTAAACTAGTAGAAATCCTTCCGGCGGATCCATAGGCCGCAGTCTTATTCGCGCGCTTCACTGATCCTATTGGTGTTTCACTTTCTCTTTCTGGAAGCGGGTATAATACGCTCTGTTTAATTATACCAGGTAGAATAATAAGTATAGCAAAAGGTGCGTATTAAGCGTATTAATGCTGAGATGGAGATTTGCTCCATAGGGTTTGTTGATCGTATGATTGGTTGCCTATTCCGGAAGTGGGCAGTTGATGGAGACGACGATTAACAAGCGTTTCGTCCACTTAATTTGGCTAATCACGAAGTTCGACCGAAGATGGATGCTCGGTGCTTTTTTCATTGGCTAAAACATTCCTTTGGTGGAGTGTTGTAACTGAATATCGCGTAGATGGAATCGGCAGTGCACTTACACTGCATACAGACTGGTTAATGAATGCAACCGAGGCACATTTCTCTACCCATTCTCGGTTGTGTCTATGCCGAGTTTGTCGAATGATGCCAAAAGCTGCCAAGATGTCTGTCAAGTTGGAATATAAAATATGATGGCCTCCCACCTTCCCCTTAATTAACTTGCATTGACTGCCGCATGAACGATTCGGACCTTTGATGATAGTTTCATTAGGAGGTTGGCAACAAAAGTGACGTCAAGGAGGTAACCTACCAAGATTCACACTTATATTGTTGCTAAAAGTACGTAACAGGCTCAATGGTGACGGACTATACAGATACGGTGACACGACAAAACCCAGACATCTCCGGATTACATGATTGAAACCACTGTCTAGATGAGAGGTTGCTAAGGATAATAGTGTATATATAGATTGAACATGTAGCTACCTTCTAATAAGGGGTAGATACAGATTTCTAACCAACGTACGAAGTGGAAAGACGCCCTTTGATGCACAAGAGGGGAGTCTTGTAGGCCCACACTCTTTACATGACTCGAATGCCGTCCCCAGGTCCTAACCCGATAACGGTGTAGGATCAATCTCGGCAAGAGTCAAGCTTGCAATAACATCCCAGTGCTCCACAATGCAACTACCGTTCATTCGATAAGCATCCATGATCTTGATCGGAGGAGTCGTGAATTCATAGTGGTGTACAAAGCCAGTGTTATTCGTAAAAGTCTGGTGCACAATGGTGCTGTTGGTCTTTGGGTTCTTAGAGAGGGCGGCCACGGCGGCGTCTCGACCCTGTCCAATGAAAGGATTGTGCTGGATGTAATCGACCTAGACGTAGTTGTCAAATGCTTCGGGGATGTTCTTTTGAACATAAAACTCGTTTGCAAAGTCATAGAAGATGTTTTCCTGCTCTTCTGGAGTGGCTGGTCGAGGAGGGCAAGCTGGGACGGCACTTTGTGAGGTAGGTTCTGAGCCGAGAACAGAAGGGAGAGTGGCGGTGAGGGTACCGAGATGGAGTAGAAATTTCATTTTGTTATTGTTGGATGAGAAACCAGAAATCAAGTTGAGGCTGTAGGGACCAAGAGAAGATCTATTACTCGCAATTAAGGTAGAGAGAGGGCTGTTGTAGAACTCACTGAGGGAGGTAATGATCGCTATTTATCATACAAGAGCACAGGAAAATTTGAGGCTCAAGCTGTCTAAAAACATCCCTCCGAATTGCCATGGATCGGGTTTTAGGAGAATTGTACATCACATTTTGATCAATAACTGCTGAATCTGGCAGGAAGCAACTAATCATTTGGGAACCTTGGCCGATTTTCTGGTGAAGATCTCACGAGAATCGCCAGCTATTCAATAAGGTTAAGTTGGCAAAGGTGGATCTTGCTTCTGATTGGTTCTTCGGCATGTCTTTCGCCGTGTTACGCGGCCATTTTGAAGCCCTGTGAGATCTTAGGTCACCCAGATTTGTCGCAACCTTGCTGGCACCGATACCGATTGCTGACATGAGGCGACTTCGGAACTCTTTGAATTGCCGAGACCCGCCGAAAACGATAGTATCTTATTGAGTTCATCCGAACATATCGTTAACTTTGACAAAGAATAGTCTCAATATGTCTTAAAGGAAATTGGTTTAAGATTAGCTCGGGTAAACTGTAAGCGTTATGTCCGAAACGTGTAAAACTATATAAGAGCTTAAAGAGATGCTGAATATTAAACACATTACTCCTTCTGACAATACAGTGCGACTTTGAATAGTCTCGACAACTTATATCCTATACAAGCTACGGCATAAACGATATCCTATTTATTCTCACAATGTCTTGTCCAGACTGTTTCAGAGGAACCATCCACGAAGGAACGCCAAAAGGCAAAGAGGAAACAATTCACAATGTCCTCACATATGTCGCCACCCCCGAGACAGGGACCGCATCAAATTCGAAAATCATCTTCATCACGGATGTCTTTGGCTTCAACCTTGTAAACAACAAGTTGCTAGCAGACAAATATGCTGCTGCTACCGGATGCGAAGTCCTCGTGCCCAGCGTCATTCCAGGAGGTGGAGCACCCCTTTCTGCGATAGAACTGTTTGACTCCCTATCGACCCCAGTTGGCCTGTTGGACTTGCCAGGGCAGACAAAGAGAGCTGGGGCTGCCGTTCGAGCAGCAAAGATTTTCGCCCCATTCGCAGTCCGTACGCGAAATGCGTATCCCAAACTGCTCACCTTCTCTCGCGATGTCAAAGCTTCCTTGCCGCCCGGCGCCAAGCTGGCTGTCGCTGGATTCTGCTGGGGTGGGATGCACTCGACCAAACTCACTGCAGAGCCAGCTGAACAGGGCGGAAACGTATCTCTATTCGATGCCCACTTTGTGGCTCACCCTGCTGGTCTCAAAGCACCCGATGACTTTTCAGCCGCTGCCAACAAGTTCAAAGTCCCCATTAGCTTCGCGGTTGGAGATCTTGACATGGTACTATCCAAGGATAAGGTTGAAGCTATTGAGTCAAGTTTAAAGGAGTCTTTTGGAGAGAAGTCGGGTGACTTTGAAGTGAAGACTTATAGTAGCTGCAAGCATGGGTTCGCTGTTCGAGCCGATCCGAAGAGGGAGGTTGAAGACGAGGCTGCTATGCAAGCAGCGGCACAGGCTAGTAATTGGTTCAAGAAATATCTGTTGTGATTTGGAAAGTCGAAAATTAGCTGGAGAAAATATTTGTCTTTCATTATGCAGAAGAGAATTAGTCTTTTGTTTTAATATCCGTGTTCTGCACACTGTTGTACATAACTCCTATTACTCAAGATCCCTGTTCCTCATTGCTTCCCAGACACTATCTACATAGGCATTATACGTGTCGCTTTCCGGTGTGTAATTTAACTCCTTTCCAAAAATTTCTTTTGACTTAGCATTCGAGATTTTGTAAAACACCATTCCAACCGGGATCAACTGCTCGGGAGTTCCTTCTGCCACCTTGTCTCTCAACTCTGGATACTTGGATCGGATCAAATTTTGCCAACACCTGGTGCGAATAGCGCGAGTCCGAGTTGACGATATTGATCCGTTGGCCACTCGCCTTTTCGTTGCGCAGAGCCAAGATGTGCGCTAAAGCTACGTCCCGCACATCTGTAATCTGGAACATGGGTACCGGGGATCTCTTTCCAGGTTCCGCTGAGCAGGTTATAGGCCCGATCGAGAGAATGTGGCCCTGCTGTGAGATCTGGTACGGAGTGTGCAAGCGGCCCGGCCGTTCCAGCAGGCAAGAGTTCGACGGCATCCCGGGATACGGAGGGTTTGGAAGCTGTTTCGAAGAGCAACGCTGAGGATTCTGCCTTGGTGGCAACGTAGCATGCGATGGGATCTCCGCTTTCTCGGACTGCCTCAAGTGGGATGGAAACAATGTCGGCTTCGGTGAGCTCCTCCTTAAAGGTGGAAGGCTTCATTTGGCCTGTGATTTCAACTATTACAGAGCCAGTGAGGACAAGCCGCATAAGACACCTGCCGAGCTTCTCTGCGGATTGGATAACGGATTTCACCCTGTAATGTTCCATCAGTTAGAGGTCTGGAGCTAGGGGTAATCAATGCATTCTTACGTGTCGTAATTATCGTAAATGATCTTTTCTGGATCGATATTCTCAAATCTGAACCGACCTGCGGCGTGAATAACATGTTTTATCTCTGTTTCCCTAAATATCTCATCAAACGCACCATTTGTACCATAATCGGCCACAATAGGAAAGCGACCGTTTTTATCGCTGTACTCGGGATGCAATGCAAGGATGCTTTGTGTATCTTTTTCTGATCGTACGGGAGCAATGACATGAAATTCGTCTGACTATGGCAATGTCTTTTGTTAGTTCATACCAGGATATTATGGACGTGTCAGGTATATACATGTGATTACCTTTAGTAGCTGTTCAGGGATCTGCGCTCCAATGAAGCCACCAGCACCTGTCAGGAGTACTGTTTCGAGTGACATTTTGTAAAGATTAGTAGAGAGCAGAAGTAAATGTTATAATAGATCAACTCGAAGAAGATCAGATCAAAACCTGGGGCTTTATAAAGTACTTATCCGTTGGCCTGTGGGTCCTCCGTGGAATGCCACCATTAACGAGGTCGGCGATGTGTGGAAGGAATACTAAATGGGGATTCAGAGAGCGGGCGTAGCGAAGGATGGTGAGATGGAAGCTGTTATGAATCAATAACTGGCCAAGGATATACTGCGAAATTCTGGCGCCTTCGACGACGATATATGCCGCTCATCTTCAATCCTATAGATAAGACTTCGCATTCGTCAAGTGACACACAAATTGAAGGCTGTTTAATTCTATTCGAACGTTTTTGACTTGAAGTTGCATTCATTGCAAGAGTAGCATTCGGAGACGATATCTATAGCGTTGTTGTTAGCGCTGACGGGCTTCATCTAAGAACATGAAGCTTCTGGCTACCATCATTAGCCTCAGGTATAGGTCATATATGAATATACGGTAGTTGTAGTTACAATTCGCTTGCTGCAAGAGTCTGTTCAACCGAATCGGTCGTGAGAGCAAGTCGTATGCTACTACGACATAGATCTATTCTGATCCATATTTAGACTCAATGGCTGGATTAGTGAGAAAGGCACCAACGAGAAATCGCTGTGACTTCGCCGTAACCCTAGATACAATTTGGATATTGTCATAAATTCGATGCGAACTTCGAGGTGATTCGATAACCGTGTTTCGCCATGTCAGTCCACTTGAACTCGCTCACAGGTTCAGTTCCAAGTCTTACAATACCTTATAAATTGTATGGCAATGCATTTTATGTACTCCCCTGTGAAAAGGGTTAACGTATGGATACAAAACGCAATGAGGCTGGGTACATATAAGTCACTGTTTGGGCAATCGACTCCACGTCTCTTAGATCATACGCAGTCCTTTCAGTACCACAGTTTGGCCCAATATGCTCATAGGAGGCTTATTTATGGTAGAACAAGATGGCCGACATGCATGTACCATCGCTAATCACTTCGCCAAGGCAGCCTAGGATTTCTCTGTTGTTAATTGGTGACAACTTGTCCCGCTAGGTTAGTACAGATGTTATTCCCATGGGCTACCTCCGGTTCATGGGTCACGGACGGACAGGCCGCAAAACCCAAGTGCTAGGTAAGTTATTACATTACAATCGTATATTATTGTAAACTGTAGGCGATCAATGTCATTCTCGGTATCCAGAGGGAGTATAATGATATAATACTCCGTACATGAAAATACTCTAAACGGCAACAAGAGACTCGTATAACAGGTCATTGCGATACCGCGAAATGTCTTTCATTCATAGGTAGCCTATGCAATGGTCTGCCTAATAGCAGATTTGCCCTCTGTGCATACGCATACCAATTCTCTGCGTTGCGTGATGATGTCCATGTGTAACATGGGGTGTTTCAGGTTCGCCACACAATATCACTTCGATAACATGAGCCTAGCTTCGATGCAATAGTAGCGGCGCGTGCCCTTGTATAAAAAGCACTTGCAAATCAAATAATCTGAAAAAGCTGCTCGGGTGATTGGACAAAACTCCTTCAGCCGCACCCTCTCTTTATCATTGAGCCCTGTCAGCCTGGTCACTTGGCGATCTGCGGCTGTGGCCCAATGTCCAGCCACGGTGCGACGGCCTCTTGATCCTCCTGGGGCGAAGTGCCTCATCACACACGCGTATATATGCATTGAGATGGACGCGCAGCTTTTTACCTTGATAATTTAGACTCTCTAGATTTATACCTATTTTAATCCTTTTCGATTACACGGGGAAGATTATCCTCTCATGCCATAATGTCCACGGACCATCGCCATGGGGCGGCCGCCCATTCCTCTCAAGAGAGCGTCTTGATGTTGCGCCGCCTCGTGGAAGCGCTCCCAGACGAGTACCAGGAGGCATTCGGAAAATGCACGACCGGCGACGAGGTGCTTGAGGATCTTCAAGATTACGGGACAGCGTGGAACACTCGCAACCGTCGGCTCGGCACCTTCATTCGGGTGATGAAGCCCTTCTTCACCGCCATGGACGTATTTGTCTCATGCGACCCGATGCATGCTGCGACATTATGGGGCGCGCTTCGAGTGGTCATCGCTGTGTGTTAGGCTCTGCAAGTTGATTCACTGTGACTGAGTTATCTAACCGTCTTAGCTTGGCATTACTTTTCATGAGTTCTTGGACAAGGTCTCTTCCGGCCTCGAAAAGCTGGCAGTCGAAATTGAGTACCTCGATGAACTCAATTCCATCTTTGCAGAGCTGGAGCGCAAAAGATATCACGAGATGGAAGCTACAATTAATGCAGAGCTCAATAAGAGGATGAAAGAGGGATGGCTGGAACAAGACCTGAAAGAGAAGAGGGATCAGATGAGGGAGGAACTGAGCATGGTAGCAGAGACAGCCATCCAGCAGGATTACGAACAGCTTCCAAAGTCTTCGCCACGCACTCAAGTCTTGCTGCAGGATATGTTTGAAGAGATCCTTCAGTTCTTGATGGGCGTATTCAGGATATTTTACCATCCGGATGGAAGTGAGTACGCTCCCACTGCAGATGTTGAGCATCTCATTAAGTCTACCAGGGTCAAAAAGCGCAATGCGAGTTGTCGCCAAGACGGTTTGGCACCCATTCCGGTTTGACGAGACCATAACACGAATGAAGGAGCTCAGAGAGAGAATGAAAATGGAGATTCTACTACTGAATCTGAAATTATCAAAAGATGCGAAAGACATTGCGGAAGCCAGTAAGCTGGAAGCAGTTGCTGAGAGTACCCAGGCAAAAGCGAGAGGCGACAAACTGGACAAGTCTATGAGTAAACTGGAACGAATGGCCGAAAAGGAAGCAAGATGTAATAGACTCCTCTTCTTATGAGATGTTGATGGAGTTTTTCGCTAACATCAAGACAGATACGTTCCTTCACCGTGTTCGCGAGTGGTTAGATCCACCGTCCTTTGCTGACAGATACGAAGATGTCGCATCACAGTGCATGCCGGGAACTACAAGCTGGCTGCTTGAACACCCTATTTTCCGCTCCTGGCTGCAAGATGGTAAAAAGGTTCGTGGAGGAAGCCTATGGGTGCGTGGTAGGTGCTGTTTCGGTTCACTGCGCATAAGCTCTTAAATCACTAACAAGCCAAGGCAACCCTGGCTCAGGAAAATCGGTTCTGGCGGCATCCACCATCCAAGAACTGAAAGGGCTTGGATCATCAAATCCAGTCTGCTACTTCTTTTTTAACTCAACCCAAGATATCATCCCCAATACCGCCTCAGCGGCATATCGAGCGTTGCTCTCTCAGATTCTGCAGTACAGGATAAACGATGATCAGCTGAGAGAAACTCTCGAATTTGCCATGTATTTTCAGTCCCCTGGCCAAAAGACTGCTTCTAAGAAAGAAATTAATGATCTCATGGAGTTATGTTTGCATTCGGATGACAACATCTATCTTGTGTTGGACGGACTTGACGAGTGTGAGGATTCGAGAGAGCTTGTAGAGAAGCTACGAAGTCTTGCAGACCAAGAAACAACTCGCCTTGCTTTATTTTGCAGACCGACGTTAACGTGGCTTTCCAAGCGAATTTCGAGACTACATATAATAAGTATCGATTTATCGAACAAGGACGACATTCAGCATTATCTTCGGCAGTCGTTGAAAGACATGAAGAGCGAAGGCCTCCTTTCCAAGTCGCTGGACTACAAAGAGGTCGCCAAAACTTTGACGCGGCGAGCTGACGGGATGTTCCTCTGGGCTAGATTGATGGTCGCCTATCTCAACTCGCCCGCACTCTATCCTGCACAACGTACACAGGCAATTAGCGAAATGGACAACCCAGAAGGGCTGGAAGTGATGTATGAGCGAATCTTGCGTCTCATTGAGGGAAGCAACAAGGCCATGCATAGACTTGCCGGACAGAGTTTTCTCTGGCTTTCCTATGGGAAGCGTCCACTGATACCTGCAGAACTCGAGAGCGGCCTTGTCCCCTTTGACGCGAATCCCAACGAGGAGGAGGCTTGGAAGTTGCCGGAATTCGAAGATGTCATTGTTAGAGCCTGCGGTGGACTCATCGAACTGAGTCCAAAGTCTATCGAGTTGTTGGGGAACACCTTTCGTCCTCTTCGATTCATCCACGCATCGGTAAAGGAATACTTTGCTAATTCTGAGTCAACATCAAAGAATGGGTTAATTCCACCGCCTCCACTTATCGCTCACGCGCGGTTGGCGACGATGTGCCTTAAATACTTGACATATCGCGTTCCATCACAGCCTCTGTCTGGAAAACTGGGAAATAATGTTGTTCCAAAAGATCTCTGGTCCGCGTTTCCGTTTAGCAACTATGCCATGGTCAGATGGACATCCCACTTGGTGCTCACTATACAGGACAACCACTACAGAGAGGCAGAGCCAGAACTGCAGGTTCTATTCTCAGCATTAAAGCAGTTCTTTACGCAACCAAAAGTGCTTATGGCTTACATCGAAGGCTGCTACACCTATGGCGAAGCCCCAAACGCAAAATCTCTTCGCGTCTGGGCAGAAAGTAGCTCATCTGGCATTTCATCAAAGCCAGAAGCCGAGATTCGCACAACAATCGTCGAGTTTAGCCATTTCCTTGACAAGCTGGAGAGTGATTGGGGAAGAACACTACAGAATAACCCAGCTAGTATCTGGGAAGAAGTCACAGCCTTCACACCAAGTCCACTTCTTCCGAAGCATGGCGGTATTTCTGTTCGTTCGTTGGTACCAGCTCCGCACAAAAAAGCTGGTCTATCTAGGGAGCCAATAAACCGTCTCACGCAAGTTACTTCTGACGGCCTATACCATGTTACCTTGGGCGTGTATACTTCAAAGTATGTATTCTGTATAGTTGCCACATCGTCCATTCTACTAATCGTTTCGCAGGAAGTTCGAGAGTCATGACAAGAAAACTCTAGCCGATAAGCTATGCGAAGACAAGTCTTTCTCTAGGGGATGGATCGTTCGCTATGAGATCAGCCAACTGAGTGATCAGCACGTTGTTGCATCTTTGGATATCCCTCTTCCGGAACTCGATGTATGGGCGCGGCTTTGCGAAACGTTGCTACGCGGCTTTATCCAAATTCCCATATCTGTCAGCCGAGATTCCCGATTTTTTACTGTGATGAAAAGTCTCTACCATGTCAAACTAGAGGGGAATAAATTACGGTATGCCACGCACAGCCTGCCAATCGAACATGATATCTTCGGTAATACAGAGCGCAAGTCCCAAGGTCACCGGAAATCTCTGGAAGAATTGACTTACAAAGATTTCTCACGATATTATAAAGACAACCTGAGACGCGTATCGCTCTATTGGATATACCTTGACGACTATGGGGAGAACCTATGCTATGCGTCTCAGGAGAGGGCCGCTCCAGCTCATCTGAGGGTGTTCAAGATAAATGTGTCTTCTTTCAATGAAGTCAAAATAGAAACAACGAAAGTCGCGGAGCGCCAGTTCTGGGCAAAGGGTATCAGCACGGTTTACGAGGATCGCGACGACAAAGAATTTGAGATGTGCTTCCACCCGTTCCTGCCCGTACTAGTTTACGCTGGTGCCAAAGGAACATATGTCTGGAACTTCAATACCAGTGAGATATACTTGACCTCAACTACGTTCAGAAATGCTAATTATAATAGACATTTCACAGAAAGTTGGCCATGGAGCAGCCGATGTGGCCTTCCTCTCCTGCTCAGAAACGGGTGAATCGTGTATTCTGACACCGAGAGGCCAGCGTCCGGAGATCATTCCAATCCAACCTGCCCTAGCCGCCACAGGAATACTAGAAGAAGATTTGCGTCCCAAGCTCGAAGGTGATGAGAATACTGAGGAAATGGTTCTCTCAGATGGTGCTATGACAGCTTCGCCTGATGATGATAGACTCATAACGAAGGATTGGACGCTGACGCAGGCCATGTCTGGCCATGGAAAGCCGTTGACAAGCAGCAACATGGTTGTAGGATCAAATGGAATCACAAAACACGTTTCTGTCGTGAATTCGGGCCTGACAACCAGTCTTCATCTATGGAACGAGGATGGGCGAGATGAATCCATGGTTCTCACACGGCTTCCGAATTCCGAAGGCGCAGACTCGGCGAAAGTCAGCGTCATTAGATCGCTCAATGAGGAGGAGCCGATTCAGATTATCGTGGATAAGTCGGCAGATACTTGGAGCAAGATCACGCGATCTGAACCTGCGGCATTTCCAGTGATGGTTGAAAGAGACATTCGCAGCTTTTCTACTCAGACCACCATCAATGAAAGCTCTCGGAATGATCATGCAGCACTTCCTGGGATAGTGGAAGGAGAAATTCGAGGCTCTTCTGCTCAGACTAGCTCTGATGCCAACTTATTAGCTGCGGATAGGTCTGGTGAGATGCCTCAAACTCTACCTGCTGCGTCTTCTATACAAGAAGAAAGACATCTTCAAGATTATATGAACTGGAGGGATGATAATGTGGAAGAATCTAAGAATGATGGGCACAGAAGCCGACTAAAGAGGTTTCTGGGAAAGATGAAGTGCTTATAGTTATAATGGATAGCAATTGGACAATGTAACCCAGTGCTAATATAGATACATGTAACATACATACGCCTTACTTTACTGTTCATTAACGGTGGTATGGGTGAGTTTGATGTACGAGGATTCATTCCGTACGCCATGACGGTATAAATATCTCCATTGGGCTGCTCAGCGATGAAGTAACACTGGGAATGGAATCGGAAGATGCAAAGGGCAGGAGTAAGCTGTTTCGTAACAAGGAGTACATACTGATTACTTGTAATGTACCCGAATCTGCTCAATGATTGATTGATAGATCAGTCTCTGTTTCTTCATTTCTTCTTACATCTATTTCTCAGAACATATTATCACAGCTTATCGATCTCAAACACGTGATGTTGAAGTATATGTACATTCTTTCGTTGCCTACCTATATAGCCCCGCAGTATTCTACTCGTTTCTGCTCAACCTCTTGCGTACATCCAATATTGGGCGTAGTCTAAATACATTCTTCCCTCCTCCCGCAAAATACATTGATATAAGGAACACGAGATATTTTTCTGCGCAGGCGACTGTACTCAAGTAACAATGTTGGACACTCTCAACGTGCTTAGCACCGCACGCAATATTACTGATCTGCTCGAATTCATCTGGAAACTCCTCGCAGATACTCAAGATATCCACGTGTCTGCTGACGGCCGACATACAAAGCATACAACTATTTTCACAATCGCAAATGATGTACAACGGCTTGGGAACATCATCACTGTATCCGTAGCTGATGACGATGAACTCAAAGGCCTAGTGAACGAATCAAATGGAATTGCCACAGATCTGCTCCATGCATTAGACCAGTTAAAAATCCAAGGGAAAAGTACAGTGTGGAAGAGTTTCATGCTTGCCTTGAAAAATGTGTGGAAAGATCGAAATATTCAGGATTTCTCTCATAGACTTGCGACGCTTCAAAGTCAAGTTGCCTATCACTGCCAGGCGCTGATACTGCAAGTACCCCTGATGTCACCTGTTTAATACTTGATGCAATGCGCGTGGCTGACTTGATGGATCTAGAAATGATGTCTCTGGTATCTACCGCAAGCTAGCCGACTTGGAAGATATGAATAAAGCCCTTGGAACAGATATTCGGATTGAGATTAGGCAGCTTCGTGACGATATAAACTCTGCAGCTGAGCGGCTGAATCCCGAAGATCCAGCCTATGGCGTACACTCAATGATGAAGCAACTGAAGGTTAGGAGAGGCACTAATGCCTTCGATAAAAAACTTATTGATGGTATTTCCTCCAACCTAAGATACTTCTCTGACAAAATATCCCATCTTCATAAAACTAGCAAGGCCACCGACGAGATTCATAATGTGTTACAAAGCCTTAATTTCGATAGGAGAAGTTTGAGAGAGAGAAAAATCCCCGAGGCGCATACCAGGACCTTCGACTGGATTTTTCGAAGATATATCCCTCAAGAAAATACGTCTTCGAGTTTCGTTGATTGGCTCCAAAACCGCAATGGGACTTTCTGGATTCGGGGCAAGGCCGGATCTGGAAAATCCACTCTAATGAAGTTTCTCTCCGATCACCAAGAAACAAAACGTCACCTTAGGTCATGGGCAGGAAGCCAAACCCTAATAATAGCAAGATTTTTCTTCTGGCATGCGGGTTTGCCTCTTCAAAAATCACAAGAAGGTCTCCTTCGATCACTCTTGTTTGAAATTCTCAGACAGTGTCCTAGCCTAATACCTCGAGTGCTGGCCATACGCTCACAATTTAGAGATGAATATGATGAAGACAATTCCTGGACACCTGATGAATTGCTATCTGTCTGCCGCGAAATTTCGGATAGTACTTCGGATAGCAGATTTTGTTTCTTCATCGATGGGCTGGACGAATATGAAGAAAGCGGTATGACTCCAAGCGATCTTATTAAAACTATCAAAAGTCTTGGAGACTCTCCTAATATCAAGCTATGTGTCTCAAGCAGACCTTGGTCTGCGTTTGTGGATGAGTTTGGTCAACATCACGAATCTTTGCTTAAACTAGAAGATCTCACTCAGGGCGATATTCGGCGTTACGTGATGGATAAGCTCAGAGAGAGCCGACAATTCATACGGGCAAAAGAAAGCTACCTTCTGGACTTGGATTTGGTTGAAGCAGTCTGTAGGAAAGCTGCGGGAGTCTTCCTTTGGGTTTATCTCGTCGTCCGGGATCTCTTGCATGGACTTACAAATGGCGACTCAGTGAGCCTTCTTCAGAAACGCCTTGAAGGACTTCCCGAAGACCTGGAAGATTATTTCCAGCATATGATAGATACCATCCCATCTATATACCTCGGGCACGCAGCAAGAGCTTTTGACATTGCTAGATCCGCCGCGGAGCCTCCGGTCATTCTTGCTTTTTGATTCATGGACGAAGCCGAGGAAGGATTAGAGCCCATAATCCGATTACCATCACAAATGATGGCTGAATCCGAGGTTACATCTCGGTTATCCCAAGCACAGCGTCGTTTAGATGCCCAATGCAAAGGCCTTTTAGAAGTCGCAGACGAAGGTACACACCAGAACCGCTATTACCGGTTCAAGATGGACTTCTTACACCGTACTGTCCGTGATTTCTTGTTTCAATCGGCCAGCCTAGGCAGGTTCATACAAGAAAACCTAAGCAATCTCGACACATCCCTATTTATGTGCAGGGCCATGATGGCCGTCATCAAAAGAGCGCCGCTCAAGAGAGATGGAGACACAAGACCACTAGAGCAGTTATTCCACTGTCTTTTAGATTGGGCCTCGCAAAGTGAAAAGTCTAAAAAAAATGTGGCCGAAGTGGCACAAATTCTCTCTTTACTAGAGCCAATTTATCATTCGATTGAGCTCAACAACACGTCTTGGCTCGGATTGGTTTGCGAGAGAGGCCCTGCATGTTATGTTAAAGCCAAACTTGCCGATAAAGAAGTTCGTTTGAGAATTAACGGACCTGGTCGGCCTCTACTACATCATGCGCTTCGTCACGTCAGCCGCATTCGCCCAGAAATCGTCAAAACGCTACTAGAAAACGGCGCAGATTCCAATCGGAAGTACGAAGAAATAAGTATCTGGACCCATTTCCTTGATCAATTAAGCACCAAACCAGACGCTGTAGACAAGGGAAGTGTTCGAGATGTGCTGAAAGCTTTGATCAGCCATGGAGCAGATCTTGATACCATGGCATATGGAGAACTATATCTTCAATTCATAACGTCCACTAGTTTGTTTCCTGGTAAAAGAGAAGTGCCAAAATCTGTCCTTAGGGAGAGAACTGTTGGTGAGATAATCGAAGATTACATGACCAAGGAGGAAGCTAAGCTATTGTTTGCGGCGCAACCGTTATCAGCGAATAGGATATTGCGGAAGGTTAGGAAGATACTCTCTCGGGCGCATACTCTTTGTGATCATGAATGAAATTCAAGTCTATTTTTTATGAGAATAAACTCCGATGCCATGAAATCTGAATCAGTATTAGTAGACTATGATATAATGCTTGGACATAGATGTATAAGCTGGTGACTTAAGTTGACCCTCGAGGATGACCAGGACGTTGTCAAATATATTTCTTTCCGGCGAATAACTCTATACTATCTCCTCCCTTTCGGAACTGGTAGCCTGTATACCACACGACCATGGAAATATGCATTGACAGGACAACAATAGATAAGATTGTGATTATAGACCAGCCGTATGCCCAACCATAGCGTTGGACCCGTAGTCGGAGAAACGTATTCGCCTCTATATCGTATGAAGTCCAATCTGCGTAGTCATTTCTGTCAGAAAGAGCATTTAGATACGAGTAAGTGATGTTGTCGCCATTTGTATCAAGGACGACTAGACTGTCACTCCAATCGGTAATGCGCGATAGCCCGTCCGCAATTGCAAGGCTTAGAATAGTGGCCACTTTGTCTGCTGCTCTCTCCATCAGATCGGCCGAGTCTGTCACGAAAGTTCCATCGCTGGATGTCATCGTGAATACGGCGAAATCAGCATTATTGAGGCGGGTGACGTAGCTGTACAGCATGGCCTCGATGCTCGTAGCGGTGATTGAGGAACCAACAAGATGCCCCGGAGTATTTAGCAGCTCCGCCCAATTAGGGCTTATATGAATAGGATCTCCAATGCCCCATTGTTGACGTGATTTTGCTTTGGCAGGGACAGAACCATCCAAGTTGAACCCGACTGTAGAACGAGTGAGAATGCCAGGATTAGACAGATTGCCTTTCACCGTTCCGCTCATGGAGGGCTCGTACCAAGCGGATGATGCAGCCCATCGAGCATCCACAATGCATGGAACGATATAAGAAGTCGGCTGGTTACCAAGCATGCCGGGTATTGTGGCCACAGCACCGATGGATGGACGCCATGTTGAGTCGAGCTTCGTCGTTTGCCCACCTCCTCTTCCCTCAAGAGCCTTCTCTGATGAAAGATCAACCCAATTAAAATTGACCAAACCATTACGGCCGTTGCTAAAGTTCCAAGTCTGATGAGGTATTGTCCACGATATTTTTGAATCATACCATATGGCGCCGGCCTCTGTGTAATTAGTGAGTTTATTTGTGAGGAAGCTGATGCCTGAGTGATTGGCGCTGGCACCGTCTATAGCATGGCATTGTACCTGCACGACGGGAGCGTATATTGGATCCGCTGATGTGTACATGGGGTTGCTGATGGAATTGACCGGGCCCAGGTGGTGCAGTTGTATGTATCTGTTAAAGAGGGCGTAAAGACGGACAACCCAATTTGACTGCGTCGCCGCGATGACGGTCCCATTTCCAAGTGACTCTGCCGCGAGGATCCTCTGTGCTCCGGTGATACTCTCTACTACGGTTAGATTTGACGACGGATGATTCTGGAAATTTGACAGCGTCCAGTCTCCTAGAGCTTCAAACCCGTATCCAGGGCATGCGAAAGCTGGGGTCTGCGGAGCGGCCGTCAAACATGAGTCCATGTCCCATTCCAACCCAGCCGTGGACGTGGGAATAGTTGTCGAGTTGAGCTTTAAAGGGAATGTCTCGTTCTTTTTAGACTGGATATAAAGTGGCAATGCCTGACTACCGTACGGGTTGGGTACATGCCACCAGCCAAGATTGGGCTGAATCACGCCGATGGATGCGAGGCCGACGAGCTGGCAGAGGATGGCTGAACAGAGAATGAAGATACTCAGACCGATGGTTGCTGAGTCTTTTGTTATGAAGTTGACGGTGTACCAGAGGTTATCTATAGGATGTTAGCTGCGCTATCTACATTATAGCTGCTGATTAACAGACCAAATGCGACGCCCTTATGGCCAACCAGCCGGCGCCGGGAGAAATTCACCGTAATGCTCGCAATAGAGGCTATCATGAGCAACGTATGGACTTTGGTAATGAACTGAAGAGCCTTGAGGTTGCCATCCAAGTCGAAGAACGCCCAGGCCCAAGAGGTGGTCCATATCGGCTCATCTGTCCAATATACGGGTAGAAAGCGAAGCCAGCAAATGCCAATAATACTTATGCTGACTGCGAGGAGATGAACAACCCATTCCAAGGCGCGACTTGAGAGAAAAGGCTGGCTTAGCACGACTCTATCCTCGCGATTCTTGTTCGTATTTTTACGAGAACTTTTTGACTCGGCGGTGGCCTGCGAGTCGTGTTCATGGCCCTCCTGCTTTACTTCAATCTCCTCCGGCTTCACTTTGCTCCCAAGGCTCTCGGATGGTATAGCTCGTTCGTAGGAGATGTTCATCGCTCTGTTGATTGTCACGCGATTTATGCATTGCGAAGCAATGCCTTCCAGGAGCTTGAAAGCTAATAAGCCTAGGGGTAGACAGAGAGTGCGGCTGCTTTGTATTGCTGCGTTACATATTCGCTTCTCAAAGGAAATTTGGAGGCCGCCCCCGTTGAAAAGTAATAGCCCAGGATAGGTGGTGGAGCCACTAAGGCTCGGGAATCCCATTCCAGATGATGCTGCAACGTGCGAATCAGTCTTCATCGACCGGGTGCTCAACCCCGGTTGTCTTCAGGGATGGTTCCACCCAGCAACCCGGCGCCTCTATTCAAGAAATCGGCGCTCGTCTGGGGAAACTGATTCCGAAGTCGTTGAAAAAGAACGCTGTACAGATTGTGGAGAGTGGTGGGGAGGCCATCGTTGAGGTTTGACGCAGTGGGAGATAAGCCAGTCTTAGTTTCTGGAGAATTCTATGCAAAACGATGAAAAGAAATTTAGGCAAAAATACTAGATGTAAGGGTGTGTAAGAACGTACCACACATTGGGAGATCCCATTATGCGGAACATCACTCTGCTGGTAGTATCAGTAGCTCTATTTGAGAAGGCTGTGTTTGCTTTAACAGGTAGAGAGCTGCTATTTTGCCCTTGTACAACAGAGACTCAGTGGTTTGCTTGGCAGCATCTTCTCATATAGAACAATGATGCGCATAAAGCGGTTAGTGAAGAGTAACTGTCAAGCTTATGCTACACTGGTGCCTAGCTTCTTAAGAGGGGATTGACCTGTTATTAACTATTAGGTCTGAGATAGCAGACAATCGAGGTGATGAGTCTTATGCTGATGGTGCAAAGGAATCGCTTTAACTACTTTAGAACTGGGCCTATAATCAAAGCAACAGTCTGTTTACCCCGCAAAAGAACACATTTCAATATGCAGATAGTGGAGATTTCTTACCAATGTTATTGAACTCATTCAGGTAGCCGCTGTCGTTATCAGACGTAATGTGACTCATGAGCCCTCTAGCCGCAGCTGGTTCAAGGTAAGATGTGGTAATGGTGGACGAAGCTACGTGTATATAAGGATTAGATTTTCACCAAGCAACCGCAATACCCGTTGATTTCATCAGCTGCAACAATACCTTGTATTTAATATTCTATTGACTATCTAAGAGCAGATCAAAGGCTCTAGAAACCCCTTCATTAGAGTTAACCAATCACCTCAAACAGCTTTATCATGCCTATCGGCATACTAAAGATATAAACCAAAAAGGCAGCTTTTTTTCTTCTGTCTGCCACCAAGTGTGCCGGCCACAGCCCTCATTTGCAGCGCGCAATAGAGAGACTATTGTGCGGTATCTCCACGAAACTGCAGACAAATCGACTACCGACGCAACAAACAACCAGTCGAAGAAGGGCTATTACACAATCCGGCCCCTGCTAGAAGATGAGGTTGAGTTTGGGACTGATGAACAAGTTGCACCAGCTGGTTTTGCGACAGCAAGCGAACTTAGACAAAGGGCGGAAACTGAGGGATGGGTGGGCATGAGAGTTGATCTGTGGGATGTTGAGGTAGGAAAAGAGGTCGCTGAACAGAGGCTAATCAAAGTACATTATTGGTGGAGAAAAGAGGAAGATGGTTGGATACAGATCCTGCATGATATCCTGTCCATAGGACCGAGGGATGGGACCGAGGGCAGCGAGGGGGGCGTGCTTGAGTGATGATCTTGTAACACTCCGAGTTTACTTCAAAAGTTATAACCGTTTTGTTACATCTTAAATAAGACACTTACTAATATTCATCATGACTTTCGGCGTTTTGGTTCTAAATAGACGACTAACCCTCGTATACTCCATATGTCAGATGTCATATCGATATAAGATTCATCATTTTGCAGAGTAAACATCTACAGCTTCTAGGCACTTATGGATTACCTACAATGCTATATAGCAACCAGCCGCCTCTCATAGAATTCTTTCCGAGATCATTAGCAAAATCTTACGTATTCGTAGTCTATCACGCTATGCTGATAATAACATTGAACTGTTTATTCCGATACATACATCCTCTTTCCTTACCAATGTTGGCCTAGCCAAACTCTCCAGATGGCCCGCCACCAATGGGCTCCTAATCATTCCGTTCCGTCCATGGGCTCAACGCCTCTAGAAACCTTGTATGCGCGGCAGCATCGCCCGTCCTCTTTAACACTTCCTCGTACTCCTCAGTGCCGAGACACTTGAAGAAGAGCAAAATAGCAGCCCACATGAAATCAGTGTAGCTGACAGTATCGCCCAAAAAGAAAGGCCCGGAAGTCTCGTTGAGAAGCACCGTTATCTCCCGCGCAAACGGCTCGCACCTTTCGAAGGCGCCGGGAGAATTCTTCTCCCCATACTCGTACAGCGGCATGCCTACGTCTTCCTGGCGTGTATTGAGGAAAAACTCAAGGCTTTGCTCTCCGAGAATCTTCTGCGCTACTCCAGGGACGTAAATTGGACCTAATTCGTTCATAAAACTGATCATACTTTTCCTGAACCGGAGCTGCCCTGGCGTGTTTAAAGCTACCTTTGGCTCTGGATGCTTCTCTTCTATGATATCGGCGATTTTATACGAGTCCATCACGTAGGACCCGTCGGGCAGTTGTATAGCCGGGAGTGTAAATTTGGGTCCGTTTTCATTCGAGGGGACACTGAAAGTTGCCCAATCATTAATAAAAATGTTCATTTCGTGCAATCCAATATTCACCTACTGCTGGCTGAGTCGCGGCCCGATGTCGGGATATTCGACCTGGCAGTGTTAGCCTTAATGATGCCAGCTTACATGTCTTTGACTCACCCATTCTGTCTTGTAGTCGAGACCCTTGTAGTTAAAAAGTAATCTCGCTGCCTATTGCGTTAGAATTCATGGCCTATCGCCCAAACCCTTTGTCAGACATACTCCTCCAGATGTTCATCGACCAGCAAACGCGTGGTGCTTTGGTGGGGATGTCAAACAGTATGTAAGCGCCGGATGACATATTGCTGGCTACTCTTCACCCTTGATTTATACAGGCAGTGGAACAAAGTTTCGCGATAGCGAGTAGAGTGAGGCTTGAGTAAATGAGAACAGAAGAACAAACGGATGGATAACAAACATTAGATCCCTTGAGTGCATAGCCACGAATCCTTCAGTCGATTAGGCCTAGCAGACCCATCAATTTATCTTTAACCTCCATTCTCCTAACTAAATACGTCCAAGCAAGCGCACATGGATAGGAGGAGTTGCTACTAGAACTGACCATTGCCATCTCAGTTATGTTACCGGATGTGGTTAAAAACTGAAGTATGGACACTCTATTGCATTTTAGCTAAACCGCTTTATTTTTTTTCTTGGTCTATGTATTATAGCGTAGATTGATACTGCCATACTGAAAAGTGAAAGCTCGAGTTCGCTACCATTACGAGTTTATTAGCGACCGCTATAAGGCACTGGAACTTCAATAACGAGTTGCCTACCCGTATTACGTAATCACTAGAAAAAAGATTATATAACTAGCGGGATGTGATCGGAGTTAAATGCGACAAAGCGGTCTATTACAGTATGTGTAGAATGGAGGTTCATTTGTATTTATTAATTTTCTGTCCCATACTCCTAAAATCCATCCTCCTCCAACATTTCAAGATCTCTCTTGAGATTGGGAGTCTTATAAGACTCCCAATCTTTGTTTGCGGTGTATTTGAAAGAATCCCACAGGTTGGACGCGAGTAAGTCGGTCTTGTCCTCTATATCTGGCTTATTCAAGCCCTCTGTCGCGCCGTTGGGCAGCCGAACTCCCTGGTCATATTTGAAGAACCCATTCTTATCCCACGATTCTTTGACTCGGCGAAGCTTATCAGCGTTGCCGCCGAAATAAGCCCTCTCGTACATTTGTCTCGGAAAGTCGCCATCAGGGAAATTTATAAAAGCCGCCTCGCCGTTAAGAGAGAGCGGCCTCAGAGCCTTCTTCACTTCTGCGTGAAAAGACCTCATGTCCCTTTCCATCCACTTATCTGTCCATTCTACCGTGACATAAGCATGGTAAACAGCTTCACGCCAGAAAAAGGCTGAATCGGTTGGCTTCCTTTCTGTTGCCTTGCCGCCGGAATGAATCCAAGTAACAAGGAAGTTGACCTGTTCCCCGCGAAACTGACTTCGGAACCTTTTCATCAGATTTCGAATTGTGGCAGTGATGTCTTCAATCTTTGATCTTTCATTAAAACAAAAAGAGCTAAAGAGCTCGTATGTCTTGTTGGTTGGATAGGCTTTTTCGGTTTCCTCTAGCCATTGGTTCACCAAGGTCTCGTAGAGGAAGCGTGTGGATGGCTCAGGTAGTACTCTTCGCTTAAGCTGAGTCTTTAGTTCCTCATTCTTAATGTGCTTGTCGATGGTTTTCTCGTAGCTGTTTTGACTGCCATCATACGCAACGATGAATCGAATGCCGTCGGATTTTTGACCAAGGTCACAGATCCAGGTGCTGTCGATGGTAATGTTCTTAGGCCAGTTGGTGGTATAGAAATCGTTCATCGTAGAGATAGCCTCATTAGAAAGTCCGCCGTCGGAAACTCCGTCATCGCAAGGTATGCTGTCAGTTTTCTCCTTGTTGGATTTGGGAAACCACTGATACCTGCCCGCGACCACAGTTCCATAAGCATTCTCCAGTTCCTGGACTTTGAGCTTCATCTGGACCAAGACCCCAAAATTGCCGCCTCCTCCTCCTTGGAGGGCCCAGAATAGCTCGCCTTCCTTAGATTTTGGGTCATCGGTGTTCTTCACAGTAACCACATCTCCTGTTGCCGTCACAACAGTTGCCTCCGTCAAAGTATCGCATCCCATTCCGAAGCTTCGCGTAAAAGGCCCAAGACCACCTCCAAGAATGAATCCGCTTACACCAACAGTAGGGCAACGTCCACCGTTGATGATATAACCTTCATGCCCGCCATTGATGAGCGTCTGATAAACATGACCCCACTGGCAACCAGCATCCATGGTGACAGTCTTCGACTTTATATCGAGATTGACCTTGTTCATCCTTCTAAGATCCAGCGAGACACCTTTGAAGGCAGTCGAATGGCCTGCGTAAGAATGACCATTGCATTTGATAGTGAGATTGACTTTCTTGGATGCTGCTTCTTTTACAATAGACTGAACATGTGCAATCGTCTCAGGTTGAACCACGCAATCCGGTCTCGAGAAGCGAAATAGGCGATTCGAAGTGGCAATAGCACGATCGTATTCTGGTTGCCCCGGTTCAAGAACTGGAATGTTTGAAGATTTGAAGAGCTTCCGGGTTACCGACCGGAGCCTACACAAGGAAGCCCGCATCTTCAGATCAATATGAGGTCGCACCCCACGACTGGGAAAGCGTGGTGTGGTATCATCATCAACGACTGCTCATTCGCCTTGGAAAACTGTTTCGTCTTTATACTCCGACGATAGCCATTTTAAGAGCCTCATCTCGCGACTCCGGCCCTCGCGAACATCATACTATCCAGGCTGTGGCACACAAGCGGGGATACTGAATCAACACGAAAAATAGTGCAGTATGATGCATCAGATTTACCCTCTTTTGTCTCTCCAGGGCGGTAATTGGACTATTTGCAATAGCGAATATTAGCGCTAGTATTATATTGGTGGCGGGTTCTATGGTCGCGCAGGCAATAATACCACGGCAGGGCAACCCTGCAGTTTTTCATACCTGTCAGCCAGCCACAATATATCCTTCAGCCGCTTTTAAGTGCCTTCGGTAACGAACATTCAGCTTTGTTTGGTCAGACGTCTTCTCCACCGAGATATCGAGTCGAACTGGAAGCCTAGTTGGGCATGCAGACGGCATATTAGTGAGCTGCAATGCTACCCGATACGGCCTCTTTGGTGTAGTAACTTATGCCGAGGGTCCGAACGCGACGTAGTGTAGACCGAGACCTTTCTTCAGCTGAGTTTATTCTAGCCATGTATTTCCATTATAAGTATGTCTGTAAGGAGTCAAAATGGCAATCTATGTATGTAGCTATACAATAAGATCTTCCAGGGTCATTTTGCCAAGCAATCATGTCGATCTACGAAGATGCCCGAAAGGGCATTCTCGTTGGGTCAATTCTCGACGCTTACATCACGAGCAACCCAGGCATATTGGATGAACAAAGTCCTGATTCAGGTCTGACAGTATTGTCAATAGCGGCAATTGAAGGATTCCCGGAAGAGGTTGAACAGTTACTTAAAAAAGGTGCCAGAGCAGACGCCCTCTCTAAAGACCTCGAAACTCCTCTCCTTCTGGCTGCCTGGAAGGGCAAGAAGGAGCGTGCGCGGATCATCCAGTTGCTTCTTAAGAAGACGCCATTGAGTTTTATTAACAGGTCTTGCAAAGGAGCAAATCTCAACACGCCATTAATGCTTGCAATTGAGAAAAAAGACTACGAATCAATTAGGCTGCTGGTACAGGCTGGAGCTGCCGAGGATGAAAACATCAAGAACTCTGATGGCTTCACGGTGAAACAGATAGCCTACGCTGCAAAAGATCGACTTATTACTCGTTCTCTTTTACCAGATGAAAAGCTAAAGGCCGCAGTGCTCGCTGCTGATGTCACCAGCTTCCTCCTTTACATTGTTGCTTGGGCGAATAAGGCTGTCAATGGGCTGGTTACCGAATTATTCGGGTTGAACCCCGAACTCAATGAATCAATTGATGAGGTAAGTGCAGCTAAGGATGGTCGAAAGAAACAACGTGAGAGCAATTGAGTAACCCAAATGAAAGCAAATAACACAAAATCAAGATTTAACCAAGATGGAGTTTCTGGAGAGGGTCAACGAATGGATGGAAATGCATGGTCCACTGAAACGATTCTTCCAAGGAAATGATGGCTTTGTGCAAGAGATGGCTGAGAAACTTGTGAACCTGGAGCAAGATCCTGCCAACAAGCTCCGCAGCCAGACTTTGTCAGAAACGATCAAGTTATCTTTATACAAGCTGGTCATCTATTGTGGTAAGTCATTCGGAAAACAATAAAATGATCCCAAGTGTCATTATTTCTCATCTAACTCGCGATAAATCCCAATAGATGACAGCACCTCAATGAAACGTGACAGCCGCTGGGAGAGCCAAAAGGAATTGGTCCAGCGTATCGCCAAGATAGCCACTATGGTTCTCCCACCATATGAAGGGGTTACTCTACGATTTATTAACAGAGATGTTGAAAACTCTGACAATCTGACTCTTGAAAAGCTGGGAAATGTCCTGAAAGATATGGACTGGCGACCTGGTGGCGATACTCCGATCGGTACAAATTTACGGTCCAAGATTCTCCAGCCGCTAGTATACAGCAAACTGGACGCAGGGAACCTTGACAGGCCTCTTATTGTCATTATCATGACTGACGGTATGCCAGAACGCGAAGATAAAACTGAGCTTGAAAAGGTCATTCTCGAATGCGAAAAGAAGATACAAGACAGTGGCTACCCTCCCCAAAGTATGTCTAATTGCTTCAATGGCTTTCTTTTCCTTTCTCTCTCTTTTACAGTCATTGATATTAACAAAATTGGCAGCCGTAAAATTCATGATTGGCAAGATAGGGACTGCAAAGTCTGCTGCAAGATTTCTGGCATCTCTAAGGCAGAACTCAGATATTGCTCGAACGACATTAGTTACTTCAGGTACGTTTCCCGAGATTTACCTTGGTATGCTTACTCACAGCCCATAGACAAACTTGATGATGCATTTAAGGTTTATAAGGAGAACGACTCGAAGTTGGATAAATGGGTGAGACTTCCATGTCGATTCTGTCTAGTTATTGCTCGAGTCCTCGCTGAAGTACATCATACTAATATTTCGCCTCTAGCTGGTCGAAACTTTGTTCTCTCCTTTCCGGAATCTAACAGGAAATGATTCACAGTAGCAATACGCGCTATGCTTTTTGTATGCCAGCATATGGTAAGAAATATACACGTCTCTAGCGAAGTTTGGCTATCATTATGCAGTTTTCTAAGGCTTCAGTATCGAGCGTA